TTCAAATTGGTTCAAATTCGATTTCAGTTAGTTATTAGTTCTAAGAGTATTTAGAAATTTAAATAAAATTGAGGTATTGTTATTTAAGACTATTTTAACCAGTTAATTGAATTTTAAGATAAGTATATCTGTAGATTGTATTCTTCAGTATTATACCAATCATATAAAATTACATTATGCTTAAGAATATTGAGATTATTGAATATTAATGTCAGATATTTTATTTGTATCATTATCAAAGGATAGTCTGATCATTAATTTGTATTTATTATTATTTCAACACTTAGTATCTGTTTTATTTACTATAAAATGTTTACTTATTTTTCAGTGGAAATCTCAAATACTGAAATATTCTTCTGAAGATACGTTTTTGGCAGGTGTTCTTCGACAAATATTAATAAGACCTCCATTGTTAATATTTTCTTATGAGCCTAGAAATGATGGTTCTGGAAAACGCATTAGAACACCCAAAATTGTTCAACCAACAATCAGTTTTCGCTGGATAGCATCATATTATAATTTGACATGGATTTTATTTTTATTGACAGTATTTATAGTATCTAAATACGAAATTGGACTTTGTATAATTTTTTTTTATGTGTTCCGGTTCACATATATGTGTTTAAAATATTGGTTAGGGTATGCTCCACCATTCACCTGGGATAATTTACATGAAAATTGATTTTTCTATTTTATACATTTTTTATGTTAATTTCAAATAGACTAAGATATATACGGTTTAATTTTTATGGATTGTGTTATTTTTAAATTTGATAGTTAACACAATAGTTAACTTACAATTAAATTACTTTTATACTGTTTTTCTTATTTATTTTTAATTATAACAAAATAAATACATAGGAAATATTTCATTATTATTTTTTTGTAAATATTAAAATTTTTTAAAAATATTCTAATGATTTAATATAATTTTTATAGCTATATATTATTGGTTGTATGTAATATTAATTAATATTGTAGCAGTTTTCACACGAGAGCACCTAGTTCTTTAAGGTTGCACTGATAATTGTACAGGCCAGTACAAAAGCAGATGACACATCAATGTGTGGTTATTATTATTTTTTTTATTGTATTACAGTGTTATTATTACCTATTAGGTAATAACTAGCATAATTGCATACCTCTGATATTATGTTTAGTAAAATGAGTTTCAACATTTGTAATTATAATTTTTTTTTTAAAAATCAGGGAAGTGGAATACAAGAAAGATTGCCCTGATATCAGTATTCAATGTGGAACATAATAATGTGTATCTGGTACAATCTTGTGAAAAGTACTATTTGTTTATACCAATTAATAATTAATTATTGAATTATGTGGTCGTAATTTTAGTTTCGAAATTTGTTTAGATATTATGTAAAGGTATTCAATTTATTGTTGTCATTATTTATGGTTTGTTATAAATAACTTCATTGAATTTATAATAAAAAAAAAAAAAAAAAAAAAAAAAAAAAAAAATATTGTTGATGATAGCATTTATGAATTTCAGTACAAATGTCAACCTTTGTAAATAAGATAATTTTGAACATCAATTAACTGTTTCTGAAAGAATTTCATTTCATATTTTTTTCTGGTGTTTTATATACTTATAAATCATTTTCGTCCCTATTGTTTAAACTACTTGTTTCTGCCTTCTATCTCCAATGATTTGGATTGTTCTGTTGTCTACTCACAAATTTTATGCATGCCAGTTAAAATTTGATTTGATTTATTAGCTAACATTTATTATTCATACATCTAAAATTTATATTACCAGATTTTAAATTTCTATATTCTTTGAATATAAAGTTATCCACATTTTTAAAACCGTTTTAACAGTTTTAAAAATATGACAAACTCAAATATCCATATTTATATTTTCATTGTAAGTAGTTATAGTACCATTTACTGAAAAAAATTATTTAAAAGTTTGAAATTGTTTTTAACTTACCTACCAACCTACCATTATAATTTAAAAGAACAAAAAAATAGTCATAACCTCATCCCCCAATGTCCCAAACAATAATTACACTTATAATGTGTAGTTTTGGATGGAGCAATTTTCAAAGTATTGGGTCTAAAATTGAAATGTATTAAGTTGTAATTGAATATGGATTATGAATATAAATTATTAACTAAAAACATAATATAATTTTATATAAATATTAGAATGATTTTTACTTTATTACAGCCAAATGTCAGATCAAAAATAATTTTAGATTATAATAAAATTTATCCATTTTAATAATACAATTATATACCTATAATCCATTACCAAAAAATATTACGAGTACCTAATTACCCACTAATAATAATCATATGAAATTGTTCAAGCAATAGTTACCTATTGACATATTATAGAAGGTAGGTAGGTATCTACCAACGTGGTGGATACCTACCTATATTATATTATTTATGAATAAAATTAAATCATGTTTAAGAAAGATAAAATAATGGGGACGGGTGCAGCCACTGGTGTAGTTGGGAAGGTAGAGAATAAACGGGAATTTAATGTATAACTATAAGCAACAATAGACTATTGCTTAAAAAAAAAACGATTCTGAGCGGAGTTCAGGTGATAGTGATGCTCTGTCAACAATATATGTCATTTTGTAGTAAAATAATTAAATAGGCTTTATATATTTTTTTTAATAATATTTATTTAATGTCTAACCGATTTATATGGCAATTTATCATTATCAGCATTATCAGAATTTTTAAATTGAAGGTATTCAATTTTAGGTTCCAAAAAAAAATAATTTTATATAACAATTATTAAATCACACAGATTATTGTCAAAGTATATAAAAACTGTANAAAGATTCAAAAAATTACCTCTCTATAAGTATCACAAAAACCTCTAATAATCTTCTAATCCTTGTACGGGATATTACAAATTGGCTTGTGACTCCTTTTTCTCTCGAGTAATCGATTACTAAATCTGCCTGAATCATATATTTTCCCAAACATCTTAATGTAATATCGTATGCTATGATTCTTACTCCATGTCTTCTTTTCCTTAGTAGTAATAGAAGTGTCATGAGATATTCGCAATCCCTTGTAGCCCTGTATTCTCTAGAATAGTGTTTTCCCACTTTTTATCACCGTGGACCATTTCAATAGTTTTTAATAGGTCGCGGTTTACCTTAATTAAAGAGCTCCCTGTAACAACCGGATTTGTCCACTTTTAAAAATTGTTCAGGAGATACAAAATTATTAGTGGTAATTATTTTGATAATTATGAAAACAATTTCTTTTTCACTAATAATTTTTTATACACGTACAAATACAATTTATTTATTAAACATAATAATTTTAAACAAGTATACTAACCTGAAAATATGTATAAAATTATCAACATGTCGATTTACATAAGTGTAAAATAGTCAAACAAAATTTAGGAACACATTTTCCATCCCTAAGTGTAATTTAGTCTACAATGCACATATTTATATTGATATTAGGTACGGTATATAACAAAAAAAAAAAAAAAAAAAAAAAAAATATATTATCCAAAATACTACAGGATAAGCTAAAATATTGTGTAAAATAAAAATAATGTAAAAGTAAAATAACAAAATATACCAAATATTGTATTGTAAATATTCGTATATTAGTTCATAAGAAAATGAATTGTTGAGAAAGCTTATTCTATTGGAGTTAAATCTCAGTAAAATTACGTAAAAACATAAACATTTGATTAATCTCATAGCTGAATATTTGAGAAACTATGTTATCTGGAAAAAATTATCATCGGTGACAATGACAATATAAAATAAACCATTAGTGGTATTTAAAAAATACTTTTATCAATGTAATACAAATTTGCCCTTAGGTCCGTTTGGCGTATTTTCAAACTCAGAGTCAGATTTAAGTTAAATGAGTAAACACATTATTTTATAAGTATATTTTTTTAAGTTGATAATCATTTTAACGATTTCAATTAAATTTACAAGTCTATCTGGCGTGAAGGTGCTTGCCGATGATATTGCTCAGACTCGACTGATAAGGCGTTTTCGGCGGCTGCTACATATATCGTGGACCCGCCCTCCAGCTAGATATGCTTGGTCCGCGTTTTTCGAGGGTTATTCTGCAATATTCGTGACTCGTATCAGTGTTATGCAGTTTTATGGATCCAACCTGGTCGGTGAAATGTAGATTTGACATGTAAGATAATTGTAAGATACCCGTTTAATCTGACAAGGGTTCAAATAAATCACCTAGGTATTACGGATATTACCGTACTATAGGCTCTGTGTAATATAATATTTATATGTTGGGAAAACGGGCCGACGCATGTAACACAACTTTTAAGTTTCGGTTTACACCAACAACAGGTTGCTGATAAACAATGTAATTGAATGGTTTACAAAATATAACTTTAAAAACGAACAATATACATTTTATAACAAACATAAAAATAGTCGTTATAATATCATACAAGCGTGTATATATTTTTTATAATAACACAATGATAGTAGAGAAATTTGATTAAATAACTTTATTACTATTATTATCATCTTTAAGTTTTTATGTAGATAGGAAAAAAAAATATAATTTTTTAAATATTTTGAACATTTAATAAATTATTGAAATTATTGTTTTTTTATAACATTATGATTTGGTAACTTTCCAGTACTGAATTTTAATACTAATTGTTTTGTGTGCATATCATTGATAAATCTTATGCAATGTTATTTGTGATGCTGTGATTACTTTCTAAAATGTGTGTGCCGAAATTAGATTTGGGATTTTCGTTTTTTTAATCTAATTTCAGATGTATGTGTTTTGAATTTGGTTTTAAAGTTTCTATTAGTTTGACCTCTATTTATTTTTTATTACATTCAGATTGTAATTTATAAATACCTGGTTTATCAAATTTATTTATTAATTTATTATGATTAATTTTGATTTCATTATTTAGTGAATTAATGATATTGTTATATGTTTTGAAGGCTGGTTAGTAAATTTGGTTATTATTATTGTTGTTTTTATTAATACAGACAGTGAGATTGTTGATTAGGAAACTATAATATTTGGTGCTAATTTAGTTGAAGTTATTTTTATTTTTATTATATTCGAAGTTATCATTATTTCTGTTTTTAATAATGTAATATATTTTATTAATGGCTTTTAAATTATAACCATTAATTATAGCTTTCTATTTAATTCTTGTATGCAGTTATTATTGTTCACGGGTATGTTTTATAATCTATGTATCATTAGCCTAAAATGTGCTCAGTTTTGTGTATAGGGATGGCTGGAATTATTAGGTATTATTGCGTCCGTTTGTGTAGGTTTTCTATAGATATTAAATTCAAATTTATTATTGATAATTTTAATATCAAGTTCTAAATAGTTTAATTGACTATTATTTTGTATTTCTGTAGTAAATTGTATATCTTTATTAATTTTGTTTAATTCATCAACCATGTTTTTTGTCTGTCTATCTGTGCCTTTGAATATTATAAAAGTGTCATGTACATATCTGTAATACTGTTTTATGTTGGAAGTTTAGATTCTGAGTGGGGCGAAGAAGCTTATGGTTTTACAAATATGTTTAATTTCGTTTTCCTATGGACAACTTTTCTACCAGCGGACTTGCGTGTAGCAATTTTTATGAAAGGAAATTGGCGTGGAGAGGTACCTTAAAGAGGTCAATTTTCGACTTTTCCCCGGAGTATTCTCAACAAATATAAAAAACCGAAAAAAAATGAAAAAAAAAAAATACGAAATATATTTAAATATTGTCTTTTATTATGATTTTTCCAAACCAGTTTTTAAGTATGACGGTTTTAAGAAATCAATCATTCTATATGAAGTATAATCATCATATGTATACGAATATAATAAATATTTTAATGCTCTTTCTGCTTTTTATGTGAAATATAGACATTTATTATTTAACACGAAGCAAGTAATATATTTATTTTTTCCCGGTAAATTAACATAAGCCAAAACAAAACAAAATACGGAAATCCCATTGTTTTTCTTGTGATATATAGAATTTATGCTTAGTATTTAGATTCCCGGTGTTTTCGCTTACAAAACTTCAAATTCATTGGACTTACTATTCTGTTTTCACTTAGCAAGCAGAATAGACATCAAAAACGTGATATATAAAACATTAAATTATCCATGGGCAGCTCGTTATCGAAAAACGTTACGAAAAAACAGCAGATTTTTCAACTACTTATATAATGAAAGTATAAAGAATATTAGGAATGGGTGTTATTTAAAGATTAAAAATTAAAATTTATTATATAATAAATGAATCTTAATTTAAACGATGCACAAGTGAATCAAATTAAATCTACACATAATAAAAAATAGGTGTAACAATTCAACTATCAAACAACCAAATTGGAACAGGAAAACAAAAGTTTAGCTTAACCGAAAGACAAATAAATAAATAAAACAAATCTAAGAAAGAAAGAAAATAAAGGATCAAGATTAGAATTGAAATTTGAACAAATTAAACATGGAGGATTTCATTTATTTCTTTTTGCTGTAATAGGAGCTGCAAGTGCAATTGCAAATACTATTATAGAGGGAGAATATAATAGAGCAGTGGAAAAAGAACAAGAACGACATAATAAAGAAATGGAAAAAATTGTAAATAATGTTAAAACTTACAAATCGGATCTGGAATTAAAAAAAAATAAAAGTATTCTGTTTCAAAAAAAAAAAAAATTCAAATCAAATCGTTAACTAATTTCGATATTATAGACGCTGACGAATAAAATTGAAAATTTTCGTGGATGTTTTATGTCGGATGTTGAATTACATATAAAACCAAAGAGAAACGAAAGTGGAATATTGAATTAAAAAAATTCTTACCACGAAGGATCTCACTGGGTTGCTTGGATTAAACAAGACAATTTAAAAATTTATTTTGATCCTTATGGTAATGCCAATCCTCCAAAAGAATTAGTAAAATATTTAGGAAAGATAAAATAATGGCGACGGGTGCAGCCACTAGTGTAGTTGGGAAGGTAGGATATAAACGGAGATTTCATGTATACCTGTAAGCAACAATATACCATTGCTTAAAAAAAAACGATTCTGAACGGAGTTCAGGTGATAGTGATGCTTTGTCAACAATATATATGTAATTTTGAAGTAAAATAATTAAATAGGCTTTATATATATTCTTTAATAATTTTTATTTAATGTCGAACCGATTTATATAGCAATTTATCTTTATCAGAATCTTTAAATTAAATAGGTTCCTTTAGGTTCCGAAATAAAATAATTTTATTTGCATAATTTATTAGTATTACTATTTTTTGTATAAACTATAAGCTGTAAACGATAAATTTTATCAATAATTTGTTATGTATGATCATCTGAGATTTCTATTATTTCTCATACTATTAATTATAGAGATAAATAGAACCCGAATTTTCGGATAGGTATTTAAATTTAATTTTAAAACCATTAGGTATTCTTTTCACCTTTCGAGTTTTGATTACATGTGGGCCGTTTAATAAAATAAAACAAATTAAAACATTATAAAAAATCTGTGTAAGCATCGGAAGAGTGGCATATGTTAGATCACTGAATTATCTTTGCATCAATAAAACAAGTTAAAAACTTGGTCAAATATTTTTATAAACAATATGCTACATGCGTATCATTTTTTAGAGTTATCAGAGTTATCATTTATAAATCACACAGATTATTGTCAAAGTATATAAAAACTGTAGGTCAATATTTTTTTTTAAATATTTTTGTAAGGAACTTATACACAAAAAAATAAAAATAAAAATAATATTTATATTATGTGCCTACTAAATATTAACTGGAACCAGTACCAATTTTTTGTATCAAAAAAACCGGAACCACTACCGATATATTCAAAATTCCAGTCTCGACAATTCAGAGAGATCATTTTTTGATTTTCCCAGGTGTTTTCATAATAAATAAGAAAAACCGGTAAAAAACATGGGAAAATCAGGAAAAAATGAGAAAATAGGGACAATATTAACCAAATATTTTTAAAGAAAATATGATATAATGCACACATAATTATTTTAGTATATCTATAATATGACATACATATATACTGTTTACAAAACTACACTATTAATCGAACTTAAATCAGAATCGTCTTTCGTTAGCAATGCTAAATCGTTATGTATAGATAAACATTAAAATTCCCTCTACCTTACAAACTTCTCACCTACAGCAGTGCCCACCAACACGTGAAGTATGATTGACTTTTTATAAGTATACTTTGAAAATCCTATATAAATATAATATAACCCTATATATACATAAGAGTTTTATCGTGTAAATGTATTAATACCTAAACAATTATTATAAAAAGATTCAAAAGCCAGTGAGAGTCCACATTAGCATTGATCATCACCCGTACGTCTGATAGGTTCATTTTTAAGGAAGTTGGTGGTGGAAAGGGTACCAAAAGTGGATCAATAGAGTAGAAAGACATTGACGTACTTTGAAACATATAATTAAGGAATGTAATGAAATTAGACAAAAAAAAATTGTAATTTCAGGTAAGCGGTCCTAATTATTAAAATTGTTGCGGCACACAAAAACAGTGGTACCTATGACAAAAGGGTAGGACCAGAAGAAAATTGGATTTATGAGTAATTTAAAAAATAATGAAAGATAGCTGAAATATGGTATACAATTTTTATGGATTCGTATGTACGTTTAAGACAGTATGAAATATAGCTATTATAGTTCTTAGAAACAAGTTAAATTCTTTATAAAACACAGCACTTTAGAAAAGTAGAATTTAATTAGAAATGAAAAAAAAAAGTGAAAATAAAAAAAAGGATAAAAAAACGTGATTAGTTATAGTAAGAACAATGTTTTAACGACTAAAAAAAATCTAAAAGACTGCATTTATAATGAGGGTTACTTTTTAGTTACTAGTTAAGTAAGTATGTAAAAATTTTTTATCGTGTTTCACAAATTCGGAGAAATTACAATAATTATTATTGTTCATTTGTATTATTATGTTATAGACGCTATTAATTTAACAAAAAACAATAGTGCATGTTTGAGATTTTAACATTTTTATTATATATATTAAAAAATTGTTTGACCTAGAATGTATTTTTCAGTTATATATATATATAAGGGTAATTTTTTTTATTGTAGATAACTTGCCCTCAAAATCGTTTTTTCATTAGTAAGTATGTAAAACTTTTTTATCGTGTTTGTGTTTAAGCCTCTAATTACAATAATTATAATTGTTTATTAGTATTATTATGTTATAGACACTATTAATTTAACAAAAAACAATAGTGCATGTTTAAGATTTTAACATTTTTATTATATATATTAAAAAATTGTTTGACTTAGAATGTATTTCTCAGTTATATATATAAGGGTAATTTTTGTTTTTGTAGATAACTTGCCCTCAGAATCGTTTTTTCATTAGCAATGGTTAATCGTTAGGTATACATAAACATTAAATTTCCCTCTACTTCACCAACTTTTCACCTACAACAGTGACCCCATCCATCCCCATTAACCTAACACAGGTTTATAATTTTGGTCGTATTTAATTAGTTGTAAAAATTTAATCTTGTGTTACAAGATTTTATAAAAGAATTAACACGGTATAGTAATTTTTTATGAGTGACAGTTTTGGCGCAACATCGATATTCCGCATCCGTCCGTAGCAGCGGCGCGACGCATGCGCAGGATACTTAAAAAAGAAATCGATTCAGCCCTTAGGTCGTTCCACTACTGCCATATTTAATTAGTTGTAAAATTTTAATCTTGTGTTACAAGATTTTACAAAAGAATTAACACGGTATAGTAATTTTTTATGAGTGACAGTTTTGGCGCAACATCGATATTCCGCATCCGTCCGTAGCTGCGGTCGCGACGCATGCGCAGGATACTTAAAAAAAAAAAATCGATTCAGCCCTCAGGTCGTTCCGCTACTGCCATAGCGCGTAGTAGGCTTCAGTGTTATTTCTCCCACAGAACGAAGAGGTCGTATGGACGTAATTGATGATTTCCGTTACCAATTATTAGCGATTTCAGTTTAAGTAGTCGGTGTCGCAGTCATATCGTATACTTTGACTGCTTTAGTGTGCTGACAAATAAAAATCCAATTTTTGATTGATTTTTCAGTTTTTATCCATTGATCGATTACAACACCACTGTAGTACCAAACGACGGGATCGGTATCATAAGCCAAAGTGAAGAGTTACTCCAACAACCGAATTTGTGAAATCCTGTTATCAACCAGGTAAATGATCTACCGCGTAATATTATTATTTTCCTATAGTTAAAAGTGGATCCAACTTGCTTTCGGTAATTGCGTTATATTGTTTTAAAATCGATCTTCATAGTAGTTAAAACAGATAAGTACAAAAATATTTGTATTTCTGTGGTCATAAATTAAAATCGCTTTCGTCAATAATCAAATATTAAATCGCAATTTTCATTTCCGGTTGTAATTTAGATCATGCAATATAGGCGTTGTTGTTCTCATCGACGACCGCGCTACCCCCGGAGGGCACCACTGTCGAGCTTTGCGTGCCATTTAGGGTGTGGCAGCCTCTCTGTAAATCTAATCCCGTCCAAGCTGTATATTATTATATTGCCACCGAATGTCGATTTAAGTTTGCTGTTGACGTCAATCTTAATTTGATTAAAAATACGTTCCATAATACTTTAAACTAATTTATTGAAATATGAAATTGTAATTAGAAATAATTTAATAATATTTTTTTGAATGAGGTTGGAAATTACTACAAACATTAAAAATGCGTAATTAATGGTATATTATTTTAAAATTAATTTATACAATTTGGCAACGTCTCTTGATGATTTTTCAAGGGGTATATTTTCCTTAATCACCGTCAAATTCATATTGATAAGCATTCGTATTTTACAATTTTAATTGGATATCTGGTTAGATATTAAATAAATCAAAATTATACAAATTAATAACATATCTAATACTGCAATAGTTTGTTTAAAATTTGTTTTGTTGCTTTTTGAAATTTTAATTTTAAACAATCACATCTTGTAATATGTTTAATATTTATATCGAATTCAATTAAGTACTATTAAATAATATAAATTTATTTACATTTCATAATTTACTTATTTTAATTTGTATAATAATTAAAACAGTATATCTACTATGTATATATAGAGAGAACACAGTACTTATATAAGTAGTAGGTAAATTACTATATTTAATTCGTAATTGTTCAGTATGTACACTTAATTGACGCGCTATCTACAATGTAAAATCTATTGCAGTCTGTCAAAAAAAAAAAAAAAAATGAAGCACAAACAAATAGACCTTTTCTTTCGTTAATAAAGACTATTATTTTAATTTTGATATTATCTCATATACTGTGTTTTATTTTACAGTCACAAAATGAACACATTAGAAATTAGAGGAATATTAACTTATTATTTAACAACTTTTTTATTATGGATACTAACAAGGATAAAAGAAGATTTCGATTTTGCCAATAATAGTTGGACAGAAATAATGACAACCGTGGTGTTATATTTGACTGGTTTATTATCTGTGTACATGCTGGTAGAAAATAATTTTTTTGCAAAGGAATTCGTTGAAGCTTTAGAACTCAATTTTCAGAACATAAATGTTTACTTTCCTTTTACAAAAGTAAGAATTTATTAATCAATGTTTGTACACAACTTTATCATTATGGATACTAATGATAAAACAAGATTTCGATTTTGCCAATGGTAGTTGGATAGATATAATTACAACCGTGGTGTTATATTTGATTGGTTTATTAGCTATGTACATGCTGGTAACAAATAATTTTTTTGCAAAGGAATTCGTTGAAGCTTTAGAACTCAATTTTCGGAACATAAATGTTGACTTTCCTTTTACAAAAGTAAGAATTTATTAATCAATGTTTGTATAGAATATAATAAATATTTAAAATTAGTATTAGAAAGTTACCATAGTATACACAATGAAATAAAACAATAATATCTTAAATGTATACAAACTGACTTCAAAAATGATATTCCATTTACGTATATTTATACACAAACTATAAAACAATTATTATTCATATTAGTAATAGTGATAAAAATATTTAATCTGTTTATTGGTGATACTATTGTTTTTTTTTTTTACCAATTCTATTTAACTATTCAACTGTTAATTTTTTTCATATACGTGCCATTTAAAAGTGAGATTAGTTGTTTAAACATTTTTTTTTGTTTTGTTTATTTTTAAATTTATAAATGTAAACATTGTAAACCATTGCACGATGTTTAATCGGTAACCTGATGATGGTGTAAATCCGAAATTTAGTTGTTACAAAATTATTTTTTTACACTTCTAAATCATATTTAAAGTTTTATTTTCCTATAATATACAAGAAATGATACATAATTTAAAATCTTAATATTATTTGTTAATATAAATTGATATTAATTAAAGTTTTCGCTTTCAGGAGCCATCCGATGAAATTCCTGAATCAAAGTCAAAAAAGGCCGGGGGGGCCGAAAATCATAATACGGAGATTCAACAAACTGACGGCTGATCGATGATAACCGATGACTAAATATATTTAGAAAAAAAAATAACAATAGCTTTAATCTGGAATTAGGGATTTTAGATATTTGCATTTTTCTGCTGGTGCATTAAAACGATGCTACATTAGCTACAAATTCAATTTATATACTATATTTAGAATGAAACGCACACAATTTTTTTTTGCTTCATAAGTGATTTTGTTTCCAAATGCTTCATTATTATCAATAAAACATTAAAGTATTATATACAACTAAGTATTGAATAAATTATTTAATAACTGAATTAAATATAAAATGCACCGTATTTAATTTAAAAAAATATAACATATCTAAAACAAACAGTTTATTAAATTTACAAGTGTAAAGTGTACAAGGTTGGGCTAGGATTTAGATTTGCTTTACATTTTTAAAAACCTTGCTTTGGCGTTGTTTGAATTCTTTCAAATTCTTCTGATGTACTTCCGTATGAAATTAAAGTGGATTTTAAATTTTTTGATAAATTATTATTTTTTAGAGCGTTATAGGGGTTTTTGTAGGGACGTTTTGGAGTATTTGAATCCAAAATTTTAAATTTAAAATACAATTTCTAAATCTGTGTACCTGACTATAAATATAATAAACTACTAAGTAAACACATATATTATATAGTACGATACAATAAATATAATTCGACAATAGTAGTGCCACAACCTAGATAACCAAACATATAACTTCCAAGGCAAAACGAACGTTGTATTTTTAGAACCACTAAATTTCCTGTTCAATAATTTGTTAGATTTTATTCGACTATAATACTATCTATATCATGTATCGTATTTTAGATTCTGAGCATAGCGTATTGTTTTGAAATCAAATTTGAACGAAAATCGCAAAAAAAAAAATTTCGGCAGTTCTAATTACATACTACCTTACTGCGCTCGGAATCGTCTTTCGTCAGTAATGGTTTATCGTTGCTTATAGGTATAAATAAAAAAAATCTTATGTATTCTATCTTTCCAACTTTCCACCTACAACGGTGGTTGCACCCGTTCCCAGTATCAAATAATTGTTTTGAAGCTGTTTATAATATTAAAATGTATACATCAAAATCAAAAAATTATTAAAAATAAACTCAATTTTACTTAATTATTTGAAATTTTAAGTGCATAAAAGTACTTAATGTACTGTAATTTTTTAAGGTTTTATATGCACAATACATGGCATATATTTATAATAATATAATTTGTTAAATGTATTAACGGGGACGTAATTCGGATGAGTTGTGAGAGTATATCGGACCAAACTAGGAAAAAATGTATTTGTTTTGGACGCAATTCGAATACGTCGATATTTATTCACGTGACTATTATTATAAGGGCCCCGATTTTAATGCAATAAATATTGTTATATATTTACATATTTATGTACATATATTTTCAAAAATATAATACATAACAGGGAAAAATCCTGAAAAGATTCAAAAAATTACCTCTCTATAAGTATCACAAAAACCTCTAATAATCTTCTAATCCTTGTACGGGATATTACAAATTGGCTTGTGACTCCTTTTTCTCTCGAGTAATCGATTACTAAATCTGCCTGAATCATATATTTTCCCAAACATCTTAATGTAATATCGTATGCTATGATTCTTACTCCATGTCTTCTTTTCCTTAGTAGTAATAGAAGTGTCATNAAAAAAAAATATATTATCCAAAATTCTACAGGATAGGCTAAAATATTGTGTAAAATAAAAATAATGTAAAAGTAAAATAACAAAATATACCAAATATTGTATTGTAAATATTTGTATATGAGTTCATAAGAAAATGAATTGTTGAAAAGCTTATTCTATTGGAGTTAAATCTCAGTAAAATTACGTAAAAACATAAACATTTGATTAATCTCATAGCTGAATATTTGAGAAACTATGCTATCTGGAAAAAATTATCATCGGTCACAATGACAATATAAAATAAACCATTAGTGGCATTTAAAAAATACTTTTATCAATGTAATACAAATTTGCCCTTAGGTCCGTTTGTCTTAAAGTGACCCACTGAAACGTACTCGAGTTGGTTTCAATCGACGATGGTCCTTGATGGATTGTCTCCGTTGACGTGGATTCTGACAAACAAATAACTTAGAAAATTTTTTCGAAAAATTAAAAATAAATGTCCTAAGTATTTATTTGTGTTGAATTCCGTTAGGAAAACTATCAACTGCGCCAAAATCTTGCGGGCGTATTTTCAAACTCAGAGTCAGATTTAAGTTAAATGANGATTCTTACTCCATTTCTTCTTTTCCTTAGTAGTAATAGAAGTGTCATGAGATATTCGCAATCCCTTGTAGCCCTGTATTCTCTAGAATAGTGTTTTCCCACTTTTTATCACCGTGGACCATTTCGATAATTTTTAATAGGTCGCGTTTAACCTTAATTAAAGAGCTCCCTGTAACAACCGGAATTGTCCACTTATAAAAATTGTTCAGGAGAAACAAAATTATTAGTGGTAATTATTTTGATAATTATGAAAACAATTTCTTTTTCACTAATAACTTTTTATATACGTACAAATACAATTTATTTATTAAACATAATAATTTTAAACTAGTATACTAACCTGAAAATATTTATAAAATTATCAACATGTTGATTTACATAAGTGTAAAACAGTCAAACAAATTTAGGAACATATTTTCCATCCGTAAGTGTAATTTATTCTACAATGCACATATTTATATTGATATTAGGTACGATATATTACAAAAAAAAAAAAAAAAAAAAATATATTATCCAAAATTCTACAGGATAGGCTAAAATATTGTGTAAAATAAAAATAATGTAAAAGTAAAATAACAAAATATACCAAATATTGTATTGTAAATATTCGTATATTAGTTCATAAGAAAATGAATTGTTGAGAAAGCTTATTCTATTGGAGTTAAATCTCAGTAAAATTACGTAAAAACATAAACATTTGATTAATCTCATAGCTGAATATTTGAGAAACTATGCTATCTGGAAAAAATTATCATCGGTCACAATGACAATATAAAATAAACCATTAGTGGCATTTAAAAAATACTTTTATCAATGTAATACAAATTTGCCCTTAGGTCCGTTTGTCTTAAAGTGACCCACTGAAACGTACTCGAGTTGGTTTCAATCGACGATGGTCCTTGATGGATTGTCTCCGTTGACGTGGATTCTGACAAACAAATAACTTAGAAAATTTTTTCGAAAAATTAAAAATAAATGTCCTAAGTATTTATTTGTGTTGAATTCCGTTAGGAAAACTATCAACTGCGCCAAAATCTTGCGGGCGTATTTTCAAACTCAGAGTCAGATTTAAGTTAAATGAGTAAACACATTATTTTATAAGTATATTTTTTTAAGTTGATAATCATTCTAACGATTTCAATTAAATTTACATGTCTATCTGGCGTGAAGGTGCTTGCCGATGATATTGCTCAGACTCGACTGATAAGGCGTTTTCGGCGGCTGCTACATATATCGTGGACCCGCCCTCCAGCTAGATATGCTTAGTCCGCGTTTTTCGAGGGTTATTCTGCAATATTCGTGACTCGTTCAAGATATTAGGCAGTTTATTAGTACCCTAAGTTTTGTGCATTAATTTCGTAATCAAACGCTGGTGGCTTTTTGGAAATCGATGGTTCTCTTTTTAAATTATGATTGTCTCTAATTGTGACAGAGTCTCTCTATGCCATCTTTGTAATTATTTAAAAGAAAAGCGTATTATATTTCCATTTGTATAAATAGGCTCTATTTCCTTTACATTCTTGGATTTCTATGGATTTTCATCTTTGGTGTTTTGCAGGGAAAATACGAGTTCCTGTTCTTAACAGGTATGCAGTATTTTATTATTCATAAGATCTATTCTCTAAATAGGAAAAATAATTTTTAAGATTAATAATTTCTATATTTATTATAAATTTGATGACTAACTTTGCATATCTGAATTATGTTTTATTTAAGCAGAATTCTGTATGTTTGGCAAGGTTTCTTTGGAGAGGAACAATTGTGTTCTTTATAGGAACATTTATGGACACGTATTTGAAATAGATTTTACGACCCCCCAATTAGATGCTGATACAAGATGTGATCCTTGGTGCATTGGCCTCATAAATATAAAAAAAAGAGGTGAATATTATAAGAAAATTATTTTATGTATACACTATACATGTATTAAATAATAATACTATACTTAAATTTATCTTCAATAGGATATATTAAAACTTTTACGAGCAAAATATTTAATTATTATGATTTTATATGTCTACATTAGATATAATATTCAAATTTTTCTAAAAGTAAAAGAATATTACCATTTTGGAGAACATAAGAAATAAGAAATTTAAATTTGTACATATGATTGGGAATTTATCATAAATTATTAACTATAATACAATTTAATTAAATACACAAAAATAATGTTATTAAATATTTTATGAGCCATTAAATAAAACTTTGAAGGAACGCGTAGGAAAGGGGAATTTATGATGTCTGGCTAGTAATTTCCATCATCCCAATTTTATAGCTACCTCGGTATTCTATCTTTTTTCATTTTTAATACAGTTCAAATAATTGTCTGGTAAGTAAAACACTCAGGTTCGATTCTCGGTTCAGTCGCCTAATTTTTTTCCTTTGTATTTTACACTAACGGTAGGAAAAAAAAATGTTTAAGAATAAATAATAATAGTAATAGTAATATAATAATAATAATAATAACGTAATTGATAACATTTCTTATAACGAGATTAATATAATATATGTTCAATAAACTCATGTCTTAATAATAATATATAATGTAGTAGAAAGTAGTTTTTTTTGGTTTTTTTTTTTTAATAAGATACAATTATAAAAAAAAATAAATAAAATGTCGAAAAAAAAAAACAATGAAAAGTATGAAAAATATAATTAGTAAGCACAAAACAAATGTGTGTATGTGTGTGTGTGTGTGTGTGTGTGTGTGTGTGTGTGTGTGATTTGTATGAGTACGATTAAAGACAATTTTTGATTTTTTTTAGAGTGAACAGTATTTTCAATTTTAAAATTTTTTTTTCACATATTATGTGCACGTTCATTTATGTACATAATTGATAATAATATACACGATGTTACATAGTTAAAAAAAAGAGAAAGTGGATCGTGCACGTGATGTTGGGATATGTATAGTAAGGACCGGCCGAGACGATCGTCGCGGCTGGTGATAGTGTGGCGAACGCGGCACACAGGCCCCGCCGCAAGGGTTTTGGCGAGCTTTAGACGATTCAGTGGACCTAAGTCACCTCTTTCGTCCTGCCCGTCAAGTTCTACAGCCGGGCCCCGCCGCGGTTCTCAGTTGTACGGTTTTTTGTACTTCGGCATGCTGGATATCACGTCCTTTCGCCGCCAAACGTTTCGCGTGGGCGACGGCGACCGGTAAGACGAACTACCGGCCAACCGTTCGCCGACGACGTTGTCCGGTTCCGTCCTGGACAGCGGGTGCCTGGTGGCTTCGGCCGATGTCTTTCGTTTGGGTTTGTCACCGGGTGGCGGCGGTTCCGACGACTGGCTGACCTTTCGCGGTTTCGAGGCCGCCTGTTTCCTCAGTATGTGTTCGATGTCCGCGGTCTTGGACCGCAACACCGCCCCGCCGATGTTTGTTATGCTTGAACACACTTTCACCGGTTCCTGCGAAACACAAAAATAAAACCCCCGCGTGTCTTTAGGTTTGGCGGTTAAGGGGACGACGACGCACGTTAACACAATAATACACAAACGGGAAGAGAAATTTCGAGAGATAATCCAAAGACTTTTGTCATTAAGGAATCAAAGTATTACCCGCTCTCTACTGGTTTTTCCTATCAAGCGCTCCGTTAAGAACCTTAACCTAATCCCTAAGAAGATTATTCGTTTTCAACGAGTTAAGTTGATAAAATTACTATTACAGTTTTCACAGTCATACCGAGAAATTGTGTGTAATCTGATTGTAAGTTTTATCGATAACATTTAAACATTGAAAGCAAATCAGCTACACATGCACACAATTCAATATTATTCTCATCCAATAAAATATGTATAAATCTTAATTTTATCATGGGCGTCCCCAGGGGGGGGCAAGACGGGGCACTTGCCCCCCTGGAATTTTATTATATATATATATATATAGCAATTGGTAAAATTCCCAATGAGAAATTAGCTTCTAAAAATAGGTCTACCTATGTTGCTATATGTCAGCGCACGGCTAACCATNAAGGGCAACAACGGTTAACTGCAGTAATAGTGACGGATATTGAAACAAGAAATCTAGGGGGGGACATAGTTTTTATTACACATTTATTTGGCACGGGCAACGCCGGGCGGAACAGCTAGCATATATATATATATATAGCAATTGGTAAAATTCCCAATGAGAAATTAGCTTCCAAAAATAGGTCTACCTACGTTGCTAAATGTCAGCGCACGGCTATCCATAAAAACTATCATTAATAATAATCGGATTATTTTATCTTATCGTATTTTTTGGTGCTAACACGGCAATAAATTGTACAGCAGAACGTTCTTTTAGTACATTAAGGCGTGTTAAGACATGGTCACGATCAACGATGGGTGATGACAGACTGAGTGGAATATGCATGTTGAGTGTTCATAGAGAAAAAGTAAATTCAGATAAAAAAAAATTTATTGAAAATGCACTGACACAATTTGGTAGAGAATGTCCACGGATATTGAAATTTATATTTAATGAAAAAGACTAATGTATTATAATAATATCTAATTGTAATGTTTTCATTGTAATAATGACAAAATATAATAATATACCTACTATAAATAAAATGTATAAAAAATTTTCATTTTTTTTTAAAATTAATTTTGCCCCCCCCTAGAAAATTGTCTGGGGACGCCCATGCATTTTATATTAATATTTACATAATATATTAAACTAAAGCCATGATATCAAAACTGAATTAACTAGTTTAAATGGGAACTCAGTACATCATATCTGAATAAGTTTAAAAAGACGGGGTAATTAATAATAATTTTATTGAGGCTATAACTTTTAGTTCTCGGGAATGAAATAGAACAATTATAAACTGAATTGGCTTTTTTTGCTTAAAATATGTTTGTACACTCACGGGAGATAAAGTTGTATCGTCGTGTCCGTGTTTCAATTTCTCTTTGTATATGGTAGTCTTGGGAACGCCAGTGGCACTAGCGCTTTTCGACAGCCTGTCCAGCCCCGTACTGGATAAAATTTTTTGATAGAACTTGATGTCTTTATCTTTTACCTTTTTGTCCGTCTTATAGTGATCGGATTCCACGTTATCCTTCGACGTGGATACGTCTTTAACAGACTGGGCACTTTTTTGTTCGAATCTCGTGATCTTCTTATGGTAATTGTCTGGGACGTAAGTCACCGTCCCAGTGATATTGTCGGGTGACGTCGGCGGACTGGACACCGAACTGCTGTCTGAAGATACCGTGGCAACCATACGATGGTAGTTAGTCGCAGAACCTATAATTTAACAATTTTTTGTCAATACGTTAATTTATTGACATTTTATAAGCTCGATTACTATCAGAATATTGCTTAAATTTAATTATTTTTAGTTAAATTGTATAGTTCTCAATGTTTTCATTTCAAATGTTGTTTATTTTTTTTTGATAGGTAGATTTTGTTCATTTTTGAACAGAATGGTTAAAAATTAACGTAGTGTTTGTAAATGCGTATTTAATATTCTGAGCGAAACGAATGTATTCATTTTATGATGTATGATTTTTTTCCCTGTATATGGACAGGTTTATGTACCAGAAGTCTTGCTCATTTAATTAACTTTAGAGGTGGTCTCTGGTAGTAAATATTTTCTAGCTGATGCATTGGGGAGGTAATTTATTGATTACCTTGTACTTTTCAATGGGAGAAAACCGGAAATGATACCGGAAAAAAAACGAGAATATTTAAGTAAAAACGATTACTGTTAAATTTAATAAACAAATATATAAATAAAAAAATGTATACGTGTATAACAATAAAAAATGAATAAATGCGTCGCCTGGAGTATTATGATAAGTGTATTATACGACCAGTTTCGAATTAAAAATTCATCATCAGGTATATCACAGTCACAGTTGATACACTTATTATAATACTCCAGGCGACGCATTTATTTATTTATTTATTCTTTATTTTCATAAATACATTTTTCGTATTTATATATTTATATACGAGTATTCACCATTTAATAATTTTGTTTTACTTTATTATTTTGTTAATTACTGTTAATTTCGATTTTGTTTTTGTTGTTTTAATTAAATGGTTAAAAAGTATAGAAATCTGAAATTTTCATAGAATACTTCTATTAGCATTTTATAGACATGGTATAATTTTAGGAAAAATTTTGGTGTTTTCAGTTATTTATACCTATTTTAAATATTTGTTAAGTTTTATGTTGATACAATTTGACACAGGGTTTCGCATAAGTTCTAAAATGTATAGACAATGTTATAAAACAATAATAACATTGTACTCACTATTAGTTTGTCTGCTCTCGTCTTCTATAAATGGTATATCAGTGTCTTCTACGTTCAACGGGTGCGGAGAATTAGATTTTACGGGCACTGGTATCATTAAACTGGCAGTAATAACGCCATCGTAATCATTTACCTAAAATAAAACTGATAATTGAACGAATATTATGTTTTTAATGAGCAATAACACATTTAGCTTTATACCGTCCCCTATATTAAGATTTTATGTTTTCAATATTTATATTTTGGTAAAGTATTAATTTCATCATGTTGGATATTTTACTTTAAAGCGGGTATACACGAGTGTGTACACGTGTATACGTGTAGTGTTTACTACCAGAGTTAGATTTACCAGTGAGAGAAGAGTACAATCGAAGTAACTTTTTCGGGCCTTTGATAAATCACATTATTTAACAGGGGAAACTCGAATAATATAAAATGTAGCGTTGGAAACACAATGATCGAAGCAGTAACATATTTGAATTTAGGGGAGGCTAAATAGGTTTTGTTTGAGTTATGTGCGAATGAGGAAGTGAGTAAGAATATTGAGAAGTGTTTTATCAATTTGTGTTCTAATGTACTTAATACTTAAAAAGAAAATGTATAAAAAAATCTTAGCAATCAAATAAGAATATTATATTATGTGTAGGTAATGTTAACTTGAATATAACTATATTTATACTTAAATCACTAAACACAAAAAGAACACATGTTAAAGTTTAAAAATATTTCAAGAAAGATAATAAACTCCTTAAGCACCCAGAGTTTTATATATTATACTTCATTTAATTACTGTGGAAATGTATAGATAAAATTATCTAACATTATATGATTTATTATATTGTAGTTATTAACATAACGTTAGTTTTTAAATTTTTTCCTGAGATTAAATAGTTTTATCTTCATTTAAAAATGTTGAAATTTAAACATTTTCCTTTCTGCATTTAGCGATTTAATTCCCTTCCTCTCTCTGAAATTTTCATCCTGACAGGATAATTTTGAATAAATATGGTATAGTGGTACAGTTTCACTGACTCGTCACAGCACCTCTCGTACGTCGTTTCGCGTTCTACTTAGCTATGCATACTACTGGAGCGTGGAATACGAGCGTGCCTTTGTGTGTATAATAAATTAGTCGAGTCGGAACCATAGTGAAGTCCCAACAACAACCGGGTCTTAATAATATCGTCACGTGTGTAACTCTTATATTGTTACAATAATTTAATTTTTAATATCAATCACCATATTTAACTCGTACTCCACTTCACCTTATATTTCCATAACCATCCTGGGAGGTCATGGTTACTCAGGTCAAGTGTATTTATATTAAATTAATATTAAATTAATTTAATAATTTATATTCTGATATTTATTAGTTGTACTTGGTCTCTTAGACCTGTAAAATATAACCTAGTTATTAATACCAGTCCAAAAGGCCGGCTAATGTAGTAGAAATAGCCAACTAACTGCTTCGACTAAGTTGGATAGGTTTTACGTATAAATATCGAAAGTCCTTTTCGTTCCATTCTGAAAACCAAGGTGTGTTACAATAATAATCATATATATATATTTTTTTTTTGTTTGGCCCATTGAATTAATTTTCTGATAATGTTTCTTTTTAAATACGTTTTCATATGGCTCAGTGTAGAGAACGATATTTCAGAAGTGTAAAAAGAGTAACTGGAAACATGTTTAACAATGAAATAATAAAATAGTATAAATACATAAATACGTTCTATGCGAAAAGAGGAAAAGCTGTAATTCTCTTACTCTTGGTTGGATGATCATTTAAATAGTTAAATCGTCTATTAAGAACAGTCCAAGAAAAAAAAAAAGGTGGGATTGTGATAATAATAATGGATATAGGTAAAAATGTCCGGTGGAAAAATAAAAAAATAAAATAAACGTTTATAGCTATTTGTATTATAATTTTATATATTATAATGTAATAACAAGAAGAAAATATTGTAAATAATAATTTTACTTTCGGCTTGTATACTGTAGAGAGTAGGTAGATTAGGTAGATGACAAAAATAATAACGAATGAACATGAGTCGTGAGGACTTTTTTTTTGTTTTGTTCAATTTTTTCTTCAATTTTTGTTTTCATTTATACATATATATTCTTCTATTTTTGTTTTCATATATATATAATATTTATTATTTCGAACTTTTACAATTATTATTGCTATGTCAAATATATTTAAATACATAATATATTAAAATTATTTTTATAAATAATTATTTGTATTTTTTATTTTTCGGACATTTTTTTCTTGAACATTATGGTAGAGCACCAATAATAAAATATCAAGCCTTCGTCTCCTTCACTTTCATTCCAGATATTTAGGGTCGCTCACCTTCGTCCTAAACTTCCACTTTACCTGATCATCATCTTTGCATGTACCAGCCTTCTACATCATTCTCAATCGTATCCAACCACCTCTTTTTTGGTCTTCCTCTTTCCCTACTTTTTTTCTACGTTAATTTTCATTACTATTCTTATTATTGCTTACGATTCTTTTCTTATCATCACATGCTGAAACTTTTTAGTTTATTTTCTCTCATTTTATGTACTATCAAATCCACGTATATGTTATTTATATGTTACGTATACGTATGTAACCTCGTATATACTAGTCCATTATCTTATATTCTCTTGTCAATCCACGCATTCAGTTAACCATCTCATCATCGTTATATATTTTCTTTTCTATTTTTCTGTCTACCACTCAATATTCCGCACCATACAAAATAGTCTTGCGATACTCTTTTCTACACCTCATTTATATTTCTCTCAATATTTCATACGATTTTTCTTTTACTTTTTTTTTATATTAATTTTCATTACCCAGTGGTGTGCACAAGGGAAAGATAGTTATATTACCCCTTCCCTATATCGGCTTAAAATACAAAAAAATATGAGTAATATAATGTCGAAATGCACATTTCAGCCAATTTCCGAGGAAAATATTAGCATATTGATTAGAAATTGACCCTTTTTAGGATCCGGCTTTAAAATTACCAATTTCCACAGTAAAATTGGGTTGAGAAAACGAATTTATGATTTATTCATGATTTTTATTTGCTTCAACCCTTCCCATTGATAATTCCTGGGTACTCTACTGCCATCGCGGAATCCTTGACTCCGTTCTTTCTCTGTTATTTTCATTTTTGTGCATTATCTTTCAACTAAGCCAAAACTCCATGCCATAATGTTGTATTGTTACACTCTTAATATAGATTAATTTACAATCCTTTATTTACTAAACACTTTTTTCTTCCACATACAATAATAATTAACACCAAATCTCGACTATATTAACCAAAATGACCTATTTATGTCGAAAGAAAAATACTTGTTATTGTTGATAGGTGCTTATCACTGTTGTATGTGGGAAGTTAGGAAAGTAGGATACATATTGTTGTTTAGTTTATATCTGTAGACAACGATAAATCATTGCTGAGGAAATATGGTTCTGAGCGAAGTTCGGTTAGTCACGATTAAAATGATGGACATTTTCAAACATTTTGACAAAATTTGAATTTAAATAATTTTAAAAAATATTCAAATTAAACTTAGTTTTTTTGTTTGATATCAAATAAAATTCACGTTAAATTATATATTATGGCTTGGCCAAAAAATAAAACTTACATAAATCGAAAAATAGTATCTAACAGAAAGAACATATTTTTACGATTTCCTTTTGAATTTGAAATTAAAACGCATATATAATTTATATATGTAGGTATATATAAAACAATTAAATTATGATAAACTTTTATTTAGCCACAAAGTATAGCTTGAAATGGATCTCGTGTTCAACTTTTAAGCATTTATGTATGATCAAACAATTGTGTCCACATAAAACCAAACAAAAAAATCAAGATTGTCCAATATCTATAAATTGATCGAAAATTGAAAGGATGATTTAAAAATTTGACTATATTTACAAAAAGCAGCTAATACGAGTACTCTGTTTAAATTTCAAGGATCTACGATTTTTTTTTCTGATAAACAATAAAAAAAAGATACGATCATACGACGGGTGGGCCACTATTGTAGTTGTAAATATGGGAAGATGAAAGGGAAATTTAATGTATACTTGTACGCAACGATTAATCATTGCTAACAAAAAAAGATTATGAGCGGAGTTCAGCTAATAGTGTTGCTTTGTCAACAATATATACATCATATTATAGTAAAATAATCACATATGCAATATATATTTCCTTTAATAATATTTATTAAATATTTTACCTATTTTCCCATTTTTTCTAAGTTTTTTCCGGTTTTCCCCATATTTTTCTCATTTATTATGAAAATATCTGGGAAAGTCAAAAAATGGCCTTCTTAAAGTCCACTTCAGTCAAATTTTCTAGCAGAAAAAGTGCTTGTATTGTAATTCGAAGCAAAATTGCTGGTACAAAAGTTGTTCAGAGATAAGAAAAAAAAAAACATCATTGTAAAACCTATACGTTCTCAAAATCTAAAACAAAATGGAAATAATGAAATCGTTAATACCGCAGCATGTTGTAACCTTTCTCGTTTTTTTTACGTTTTTTGGTTTATCTCAGTTATAAACTTCATAGTTATAAATCTTCACAGAAAATAAAAAAATTTAGCTTTTTTCTTACTTATTAAACAAAATTTTATTTTAGAAAGATTTTTCTTGAAATCCAAGGCAAGAATTCAGGTTGAAAAAAAAAAATCGAAAAGTATTATAACAATTAAATCGTGAGCACCGTAAACACGTGTTCGTTTTTTCTGGTTTTCTAAATTATTATATAAACCGTTTGAAAAATTAAAACACGGCCTTCAATGTTCTAAAATGTACCTATCAAAATAGGTCTTTTGTAATTTTTATATTGAAGCGAAATTCCATGAAGACATTTGCCTACAGAAAAAAAACTGCACACATTATTGTATGACTATAAAACTTGGCTCAAAATCTAAAAATTCAGAAAAATCAACGGTACAAAAAATATAAGCGAACAATTGTCAAAATTTCGTTTTTGTCCATTCACCCGTTAAGACTTGATGTGTATTAATTACATTTTCAACTGATATATTGCATATTATTTCGATGATATGACTTACTTGGTTTCCGTTGGCGTGTACTTGATTGTTGGATAGCTTTTCAAATTTCCTGTTTACTTGCATGCGTTCGAACACAGGATATGTAAACGCTTCGACGTCATCCGGGAAAAAAGCCGTCACACCTTTGCTCCTGCTTTTTCGCGTTTCCCGTTCTCTATGCCTGAAATCACGTGCGCGATATCACAAAAAAAAAAAAATAATAATAATAATAAATAATACATACAAATAATAATAATATTAAAAAAAAATATTAAGCGGACATTATTTTTTTGTTATTTATGCGAATCGGTAAACAGTGTATACGTTTAAATTTTGTTTGTCGTTTTCACTTATTCCTTACTTATATCTATAATCTTCGTTATCGTCCGATCCGTCAATTCCGCAATTCTGGTGAGTGAATTCTCCCCGTGTCCAGATTTTTTTTTCTTGGCTTTCCGGTTGTTTGGTAGTCGAATCGATTTCTGGCAAAATAACGGCTCCGGTTTTCTGTACTTGTAACAAGGTTTCTTTTGGTTCTTGAGAGGATCCATTTCTAACAATAATAAAAATAAATAAATAAATAAAATAAAAATAAAACTGTAAATGCAGTGCGGTTTAACGTCATAACCATGATACACATATGTTAAACACAACATTTGAACACATACGTTTCACGGTATTTTACAATTATTATTATTATTATTATTAATATTATTTAACACGGCTATAATAATATATTATATAGTATAGTCGAAGCAATAAAAAAAAAAAATCATAACTTTAACGCTGAAGATAATTATTCGGAACACCGTGAAACTATCGGTCTATTTATAAATAAATTTACTATATATATATTAGTTTCTTAAACTTAAATGAAAATCAGTTAACATAATATATAAAAGGCGTAGCTAGAAATTTCATTATCAGGGAGTTACCAATAATTAAGACATATTTAGTGTTATTTTTTCCATTGGTTTTACTATGATGTATGTGTAGTTTTATTGTTTTTTGTGTCTGTGAACAACTTTTCAATCAGAAAACTTGCTTCGAATTATAGACTATAGCACATTTTCTGAAAAGTAATTTTCTCTAGTTGGTATTTTGAGAGGACATTTTTTTATTCTTCAAGGGGTTTTCGAAATAATTGGAAATAATTAGAAAGAAAACTATACGTAAAACGGCAAATATTTACGGCACGCCGCGGCGTTACCGTTTTTCCTATGTTTACACGATGTTTTCTATCAGTAGTATTTCTCCAATCCAAAAAGACAAAATATCGATTTTGTTTCTTTTAATACATAGCCACTGACAAAGTAAATAGTTTATTTCATATATAAAGTATTGTTCAATATAATTTGAAAAAAAAAGAACAAAAAAGACGAAATATACGATTTTTTTCAAATTACGGCACAACGATTTCATTATTTTGAATGTTTACGGCTTATGTTTTCTATTATAAATATTGTTCCAACAATGGAATTTGAATTTTTTTTGTTGAAATTTTAATCTAGTTAGTTACTAAGAAAGTCGTTTTTTGGTGTTTTTTAATAATTGAGTAAAACCGAAAAACACATAGAAAAATGTAAAAAAGTACGAAAATAATTCTTTTATAATTTTAAATTTTGCTTTTTTAATGTAATTTAGTAATATTTGTAGGGACTTAAAATGTTAATAGAACACTTATATTTAATTTTTCTGACGTGGCTCCATCTGGGCCAAATGAGCTCAAATAATTAGAGTTGTTTTTTAGGTAAATTATTGAAGTGATAAAAGTCAGGTTGAATTTATTTATGAATTTAATCATGTCGTTGCGGTTGGTGGAATTTTTTTTTCTTGGTCTTATAGAGTTTCTGAACGAAGTAAATATTAACAAGAATATGTTTTTGGAGGGTTTCAATTTTCAACTTACACCTCTTCCATTTTTCATGATCAAATTTGACCATTTTCTTGAAAGTATTATAATGTTGTCCTATTATTATAATATTAATCGGTTATTTATTGTTATTTATTAATTATTAAACATATTTCTAGTATATAAAATGGATGGGGAAATTTCGACGTATTCTGAATTATCGTTATGAATTAATAGTATTTATAAAAAAAGGAACGTGAGTTAAAACTTAAACTAGTCATATCTACTTTAGAGGTATAGTGGAGTAGTTACTTATGGATATCTTAAGAAGAATTCCTATTCATATTTGATTTAATCAATATACGGTTACTGAAATAAATTTAAAATTGAATCAAAAATACAAAATTTTAATTTCAACCTTAAAAACAGTATGTAATGAAAAATTATTACTAATATTTTAAAATTTCTTTTTCCCATTTATGACCATCTTACGCTATTTATGTTTTCATAATAATTGATATCACTTAGTAAATTAATTAATATAGAAAACATGACAAAAACCATATGGCTTATGAAACTTCAAAATTATCTACACTATTTAAGAATAAAATAAAAATGAGTGACCATAGTAGAGATACTGGGCATAGATGGTGATTTAACCCTAATTGTAATTTTTTTTTCAAAAATCGTTTACTGCAAGTACTAACATGTATATTAAATTGAATGTTTAGTATTTTCTACTGTTAACAATTGTTGCGCTATAATATTTAATTTTAGTAATTTACTTTTTAGTTTTTAGTTTCAATAAAATAAGTACCAACAAAAAAAAAAAAATTATCTACAAAATACACTGTAAAAAATAATCCTTAAATGAGTACTCTAAATACAATATTAACAAAAGGGCTCTTACATTTTGTTAGAATTTTCAATGGAATATAAAAACAGGTAGTTAATTTATTTTTATCTAATTTTCATTACACATTTATTAAGTAACACACTAATATATCATATTATATGCACGTTATAAATACAAATGCATGTGTTAGCAATGTTGGTAAAAATGCTATTTGCATGTTAAAAAGACGTTACAAATCATGCATTTATTGTCTCCATCTAGTGAATTTACAAGTAGAAAAACCAATAAATTGTGTGTTATGAGTTTTAATATTATAGTATTTTAAAACTTATGGGAAGAAAATTATCTGTGTTTGTAAGTAGGTTTATTTGATTTTTTTATTTTTCGCCGAGATAAAAGGATTTTTAAGTTGCATTATTATACACAATTATAATTTGCTTAAAAATAAAAAAAAAAATAGAAAATACAATAGAAAAAATAAAATGGATTATAAAACAGATAATGAAAATAATTCACACAGATAAGTTTTCCTTGAAGTTTGACAATAGGCTAATTCACACTAATATTATAAAAACTAACAGCACAAAATTGGTTCTATTGAACGCAAATTTGATGTGTCGTGTGTTTGTATGGCGAACACAACGAATGCATATGTTACGTATTATATTGATTAATGAAAATTTTATGTTAAATTTTTAATATACACACAAATAAAAATTATATTTGATTGTGAAAAAAAATCACTTATTTTATTTATTTTTTTTTTAGTATCTTAAACAATAACGCACACAACAGTATTAAATTTACTGGATAGTTTTCTCGGCGCTCGAAAATCGTAACCTCATAACATTGTCTAGACCTTCGGGATTTGTATCGAGCATATGAACGTATACTTCGTCAAGAAGGTCGGCTGGTACCTTAAAAAAAAAAATAATAATAATAATAAATTAAAATCTTATGACAAGAGAACGCGACACCGGCTGGTATATTTTGTATAGGTACGGTTTTTCTTTTTTGAAGAGAGGTACACATACACACATACATACACACGTAACACAAATTGTAATTTATAGGCGAGTACCGGTAGGTGCTTACCTACCGCATTAGTCAGGTAAAATCAGGCCCACGAGAATTTTTAATAAGGGGCACAATTGTAATTTTTCGATCATACATTATTTTTCGGTATTCTTGCAGAAGTAAACTTAATTTTAATTTGATAAAACTAATATCTAATTTTCAATGATCCAGATGCAAAACCCAAAGGAAATGAAAGGAAGGGTGATTGAACCCCTCCTTATAAACGGACCTGAATACAACTGAAGACAATGTGAATAATTTGAATATCACTGACAGCACTAGGTATTTCAAACAATATTATTGATATTTATTATTGTTTACATATTTGGGCTGAACTTATAATAAATGATTAGGTAAAATACATTAAATATTTCATCATACCTTGAATAGATACTCGTAATTTACTATCAAAGACGTAACCACATCGATCGCCAACCGTCTTTCCATTGTCATTTCTTCGCTTAAATCGTTGGAACTAAGTTCCTTAATGGATTTGTGCAATATATTTGGTGCGAACAGTGTAGCTAAATTACTAGCATCCATTTTATTGCCTTCTACTAAATGGCCTGCAACAATTGTAGTTTACTTAGATCGATATCTCGTTGAAATCAGTACTCATCGAATTGGGAAAAAAAAATAAGCCGGAAAAGCACACTCTACGAGCGAACTATATAGTTCCATATACGAAATAACTTAGAAACAAAAATTAAACATCTTAATTTATAAGTATAATTAATAGCGCATTTTTAAATAATTCTTTAAGTATCTAAGTACCTATACTACTTATAATATTACTTTATATGTTTAATATTGGCTAGAATGAATGTATATTTAATACTTATGTTTAAATAAACAATAATAAAATTACCAATTTAAATTTTAAATTAAAAATATATAATAATGCTATATAATTCGTTGTCAACCAAATCAACAAACATTAGATATGTACCAATTATTCCAAAAAGAATAATAATATAATATTTAATAATTATTATAAATTTAGATTTAAATATTATATAATAATAATATTTTATCATATGATATAATTCATATCTAAACAAATTAACAAAGTTTTTTCACTATTGTCAAGAAAATTGCTTATAAACATTGTCGAGCTATATAGTGTGTCACTGAAGTTAGACTTGTTCTAAAACTAAAATTATTTTTTTAAAGCAGATTGTTTACTTCAATAAATTGTATAAGTAGGTTTTTAATAATTTTTTCTAATAGATTAGCAAAATTGCAAATCTTAGGCCTTTAATTATTTACATCCGTCCGATTTCTCCCTTTAAATAAGGGCATTATCACAGCTTTTTTTAATTTATCGGGGAATGTGTTTTAGATTCGTAGTGGAAAGAGGAATGCATTTGTTTTACATTGATGTTTATTATTATTATTTTTTTTTAATGTGAACCATTTTTCTATCAGTAAAAACATAATCCGATTATCAAGTATAGCACCTTTTCTGAAAGAAAATGATCTCTGGGTGGTAATTTAAAGGAGTCATTTTTAAAATTCTCATTAATATTTGAGATAATGAAGAAAACCTCGATCTTTAGGTTAAAAAAGATTGAATGAATTAATATAAAGTTGTCATTAGCAACCGCGTTTATTTATTATTTAAAAAATTATTGTTGTCATAGAAACGTAGATTGTTGTTATCATTTTATCATAATATGACATTTATATTGTTAAGAAAGCAACACTATCAACTTAACTCCGCTCAGGAAGGTTTATTCGTTACCAATGGTTTATTATTGCTTACAGATAAACATTAAATGCCCATCTGTTTCCTACCTTTTCAATTTCCCACCTACAACAATGGCTGGGTCTACGTGCGAATTATGTCCGTCCTTTTTATTATTGCTCAGACCATAAAATACCAATGGATCTAATATTGTATTAATATTATAGTAATACATATAATTATTATAATAATAGTTAATTATAATTTAAAAATACAAACTATATTACTATTTATTAATTATTATTCTTATTGAGGTGTTATAATTGTTAACTTTGATAGACATTAGTTACATTGTACGCTGATTTTAGTTACTTTAATTCTGTGTGGTTTGTCAATCTGATATGATTTAATTTTTTTGTTTTTCGGGGTTGGTCATGCTGATAAAATTAAAATTAATATTATTGTTTAGAAGAAAATGTCATTTTGGAAGAGCTGTCTAAGGCTCATACCGGTAACTATGGATGGACGAACAAAATGATACAGCAGCTATGGGATATATTAAGGTGTCTAAACTTATGTTTAAAAACATGAAAGCTGTCCTAGGATAATGGAAACGGGTACAGCCACTGTTGTAGAAGGAAAGTTGGGAAGGTAGGATACAAAAGGGAATTTAATGTATATCTGTAAGTAACGATAAACTATTGTTTACGAAAAAACGATTCTGAGCGGAGTTCAGTTGATAGTGATGCTTTGTCAACAATATTTATGTCATATTATGGTAAAGTAATTAAATAAACACTATACAGGCTGTCCCACGAAGATATACTCCTTTAATATATCCGGAGATAATAAAGATAATCAAATTATGTTTTTTTTTTTTTATATTACTCACAGGAATAAGAACTACAAATATTTATATTTGAATTAAATTTTTTTGTTTTTAGTAAAAAATTTAAAAAGTAACTTTGTTTTATTATGTTCGGAAAATTTTAAGATAGTCTTTTTGTGGAGTTTATTTTTTTGAATATTTTAAAGTATTACACATTTATATCCGATGAATATTTTATAAATAACAGTCGTTTTAAATTTTACTAGTCCGTGTTAAGATTTAAACAACGTTCTATACAACGTCGTGATATAACCTAATATATGAGTTTTTATGTTTTCGAATTTGTATTTTTGAAAAACTATTATTATTAGTTTTTTTTTTAAATTTTAGGCAGTAAGTGTTTAAGTTAGTAGGTAGGTATATAATATTGTTTAGCGAACGCGTTTGCTTCTTGTTATTTAATATTCTACGGTTGATCAATAAAATATAAGTTATTATAAGTTTGTGTATAATACTTACCAAACGAGTCTTTTGAATCTTCCGAAAATTTCGCCATACTGCTCAAAAAGCTAAGTAGTGCGTGGAGCGTATTACGATTGACTACGGGCAACAACTGTACAAGATGTTTAATCGCGTCTAATTGCAAATGCCTATTACGTATTTCTACACAAATACAATAAATGTTGTTACGATAGTTGAAATAAATATTTAATTTTTATGAAACAATATTTATATAATATACATTAAACATACTTTGAGTTTGTATAAAACATTGGTAAAGATCGTTGCAGAGTAATGAATCCGGCAATGCTCTAAAATATTCTTTTAACAAGGTAGCTACGTCGTGGACGTGCTCTTCGTTTTTCGATAAGGTTTCTTCTAACGTTTTTCCATGATCAAAGTCTTCTCGAAGCTTCGAATATTTTACGATAAAAATAAAAATATAAATACAATATAATTCCGTTTTGTCGTTACACAAGTAAAGAATAATAACATAATATACGGTTTTATTATTTTTTTTGAACGTGAAAAACAGTAATACCTGTCTTAGGCGTTTTTTCGAACTACTTATACGAAATACTCCGACTTTGTGGAGCCCGTACTTTTCTAGGTAGCTTAGACATGATGTGACAAAACTAGGAACTCCATTTTTTTTTGATTTTATATCACTGTCATTGTCATCAGACAGAATATCCGAACTAGAACTTGTAAAAGTCTTAATCAACTCACTGACGGGTGTACTTGATGTAGAGTCACAGGAATGTGAACGCTAGAAGCATAGAAACGACACGATCTAAAATATCTAACTTTGAAACAATAACAATGCGTAATAATTGCTGACTTGAATAAATATTTTAAGACATGGTAAATTTTAAATACACACACATATATATATATATATATTTTGGTATACAATAGTATTGTAATACACGTACCTCACTAGAATCTTTAGGAATTTCAATGTAACTTGAAAAACTACTTCGCCCACGTGGATTTTTTGGCATATATTGAGCCTCGGTCGGAACCTTTAAGTGAGATCTTGATGACCGTTCTTGCTCTAGGCATTCGTTTAACGATACACCAAATATTGTATGTGGATAAAGGCTTTCTGAAAATAAAAATAAAAACAGATAGATCGTGTAAAAACGATTAGAGTACATTTTTTTTTTTTTTTGGCGTTTATTCAGTTCTACAACTGAAAAAATTATACATGTTATAATTTTCATTCTCTCAAGTATAAACAATTATTTTCGATGAGTTGTTATTGTTTTCTGTCGAATTAATATTATCAATTTATGTGCGCATCTTGAATTCTATGTTTTTCTAATTAGTTAAGTATTTTTTGTTGTCCAATATTTTAAAAATCACAAACGGAATATACCTACACATCGAAAATAAAGCATACGGACACCTCAGTACCTTTCAAGCGAATAAAATGTTTTACTTAGAATATTATATAATTGCTAGATACATATAGTATATGAGATTTTTTTTTGAGAGGGAGGGGGAGGAAGTAAATTTAAATAATTCAAGAGTGACTTACAGCGGGGCAATGTCTTTGCTGTCTCTTACATGGCAAATAATTGAAATTAAATAATACCGTTTAACTGACTATTACCACGATTGTAAAACTATCTACGTATCCTAATGATCTACAATTTTGTTGTTTACTGATAGATACAGTGAATTAATACAGTAATATTGATAACGAAGCCGTCTAATTTTGCGAAAACACGCCTTATCTATAATTACAACTATAACTATAATAATTTGCTCTATACTCGGATTATAACTACAGAATAATAAATAAGTAAACTTATTTATTACGAAAATCGTTTACAGAAAATAATAATGGTTATGACAAAAAAAAAAACAATTATCTTTATACTGGTTAGGTTAGGTTAGGTTATACTTTAATTATTATACTTTGGTATCTCATAGAAAAAAAATCGAACAATTCGAGAAGGGACTAAAGATAATTTTTGAAGATTAAACTTCATCAATAATAGGTAGTAAGTACTTTCATCTTATTTTATTTCGGATGATATTTGTAATTTTATATAGCTATTTATGAAATTACATTATTTTTAAACCAAAATATTTATAGATATTAGATACGAAAAATAATGTGTTTTATGTGTGTAAGTATACTGAACTAGTTAAAATAGTTTGCAGCTAATACTTAATAATATTAATTAGGAGTAATTTGTGAGATTATTTTATAGGCATATAAAATTACCTTTTTGTATAAATACCGATGTAAACTAATTTTAGAGACCTTTAGATAACTAGTTATAGTTAGGCCAATGACTTTATAAAAAGTACTTTGAACGCTATCAAATTTCCGGGGACCTTACTATGGCCGTGTGACGTACCTAATGTGTACATTAATAATGTAGTCCCGGTACTTCATTAAAATGTGTAAAGCGTATAGTATTTAAATAATATAATATCATTATTTGAGTATTATAATAACTGTAAAAATAAGCCTCTTTATTCAAGTAGTGGTAGTAGTAAATTGGTCTCGATTTCTGGTGGTGCAGTCAAATATTTAAACTTCCAAACCACTAATACTCTTTTAATACTTTTATGGTAAAACCTCAAAATTTGGATTGTTATTTTATTTTTGTAAAAAATAAAATATTAATACTGAATTATTTGAATAGTAAAAACCCTATTAGTCATAAAATATATTTAATATGTGGCCTCGCATATGAGCATAATGGTCTAAAGAATTCCAGTGGATTTAATATAATCTATATTATGATAACGAACATTTTTTTATCTATCAAATAAATACTTACTTTTAAAAAACTATTCTAGAGATAATAGGGCAGGTGCTATCACTGTTATTGGTGGAAATTTGGGAGGGTAGGATACAGAAGGGAATTTAATATATATCTGTAAGCAATGATAAACTATTACTAATGAAAAAGTGATTCTGAGCGGAGATCAGTTGATAATCAGTTGATGCTTTATCAACAATATAATATGTCATATTATGGTAAAATAATTAAATAGGCATTGCCATCGAGTTTTTACTAATAATATTTGTTTAATGTACCGATTTTCTCGTTTTTCCTCAAGTTATTTTTCCGTTTTTCACATTTGTTGAGAAAACTTAATTAACTAACGTAATAGAATTTAAAAAAAAAGACTGATTTCTTTCGCACGATGGGTGGGTTATACATGTTTTATAAGGCCGTAATATTTATGATTTTCTTCAAAATTTGATATAAAAATTCTTATAAAAATTCTACATTACACTCAATTTTTCTTTTTTTTTCAACTACAAATTACGATTTAAAATGAACCTTCTGTTAAATTTTTAAGCATTTCTGTTTGGTCTAACAATTTTATCCGTATAGTACCTATCAAATAAAAATTACGTAAAAAGCTCGCAAAATTAAAATGTCTCAAATAGCTTTAAAATGGCTCCAATGTTATGAAAATTTTACCATGTCTAAAAATAGTAAATATGAGTCTTGTGTCCAAATTTCAAGTCTCTATATTTTTAACTGAATTACAATACATAATTAAATTGAAAATAATACATTTTGTAAATTTTCTCGATTTTTCTCAATTATTATAAAAATCGCTTAAAAACTTTAAAAATGACCATTTTAAAGTACTACTCAAATAAAATTTCTTTTCAGAAAATGCACTAAACTTGATAATTGGAGCTAGACTTCTGGTAGTTTAGTTTTTACAGATAAAAAAAAAATAAACATCATTGTAAACAAATGCATTCCTCGCTTTGCTCAGAATCTAAAAATGTTACGCAAGTAAAAGTAGTTTACATAAATTGTACCTACCGTCAGTTGAGAAATTCGCATATTTTAAAGGAATGAGGTGTAAAAATCGGAACGTTATTTTTTACTGACCGTAAAAGTGTTTTCCTAGTAGAAAAGATCCACACAAAGCACATCTTTGTAAAACTAATAGCTTCAAATCATGGAAAACGGTTAGAAGGGGGCTGTTAAATTTGAAATTTGTTCTCGTAATCATTTTGCAGAACGTTTTTGTTTTCTCGACGCGTCCATACGATAGGTCTACGATTAAATCTTACCTAAAACATTTATAACCTTTGATGAAGATATCCAGAAAATCAGCACGCCCGCATAGTCGAAACGAATGGAAAATATTTCTATATTTTTTCTTACTTAGTTATAGCGTGTAGATATCAATTTCGCCGAGGCAGTTTCAAATCCGTCGGACCTAATAACTCTACACCGAAATAGCTGTACACATCGACATAATCGCCGCTATTGATAGCAAATAATAATCATACATATACATGCAATATGCGTTCTCGCCGACCAGCCGACCGACTTTCGATTGCGCACATGTTTTATTATTAAAACATTTTTTTTTTTGTTACTACAGAGGCGACTGGTGCCAAACACACTCGAATTACTGTATACGAACTATATTATGTAATTTTGTTTGTCGGTCCCGCACGTAGAATACGCTTTAAACTTACCCAAAATGCGATTTTTTTTCCTTCGTTTTTTTACCATACTGTTGTATATTTAATACAAGTACATTTTAACGGGAATACCCGAACGTCGAGTTTAGTCCACGATTATTTGAGCGAATCATCATAATGTTCTTGCATGTGCAGTATTTTATTTTTTAGATATAATGTAATATAGTAATCAAATTCGAATTTATTTATTTGTCTTTTTAGTATTCATATTTATAAGTATCACTTGGCACAAATATGGATGGTAATCATTTATCTCCTCATAAATAAATTTAATAAACAATGTGTACACACTCAATATTATGGAGGGGACAGGTCAAATCCACCCCAATTTATTTGTACTATTTGCGCCTATAGTTCTTATTTTACTTATATACTTGTACATAAGAAACATAATACTTTTGTAAACAAAATAATTACAAGAAATCAGTAAAATTCCGACGAGTGTCTAAGCAATCCCAGTCTGTATAGGTATATATGTTCAAAACTGAGGTTATCTTTAGATAATTCGTTATATTAAAAAACAAGCTATCCTACGTTTAAAACAATGGCTCAAAAGTAATTAAGCATTAACTTTTGTCCTCTTATATGATATGTAAATTATACGATTGAATAATGCAAAGATGTAACAGATGTTTTAACAAATAAAGTAGGGATCCGAAGGGGTGATTTCATGAGAACAACATTGATTTTAATTGATATTTAAAAGGAAGACAATCGTTTTCCCTTCATCGATTTTATTTGGTGACTCAAGTTTTTCTAAAAAAAGAGGAAATTAAATCGTATGAATTGTTTTTAATTTTAGATTAAGAGTGGAGCAAAGAAGCTTATGGATTTACAAAGATGTTGATTTTATTTTATTTTTATCTGTTAACAACTTATCTAACAAAAGACTTGCTCGGATTTTTAAACAAAGTACCTTTTCTGAAAGAAAATCGGTTGGAAAGGTGTTTTAAAGAAATCATTTTTCGATTTTCTCAAAAGTTTTTCTATAAAATTTGAAAACCGAAAAAAAATGGAAAAATGTACGAAATATATTACTAAAATATTACCATTTTTCCCCTATACTTTTTTACGAGTAATTTTCCTCCTATATTTAATGATAGCAATATTTCCAAAAAAAAATTTCACTAGAGGGGTATTTTAGAGAGGTCATTTTTTGATTTTCCCAAGAGTTATCCAAGAAAATGTTAAAAACCGAGATAAAACATGGGAAAACCGGGAAAAACGTAGGTAAATTAAGAAAATCGGTACAATATTAAACAATATTATTAAAGAAAATATATTAAGCCTATTTACTTATTTTACTATAAAATGACTCGTTATATATTGTTGACAAAGCATTACTATCAACTGAATTTCGCTCAGAATCGTTTTTTCGTAAGCAATGGTTTAGAGCTGCTTACAGGTATACTTATGGAAGTTGATCATATTTTAACTGTAATTATAACGTTAAGAAGTAAAGTTTTTATTATAAAAGTCAAATATGCCATGCAAGAATTCAACAAAAAAATTAATAAAATCGGTTCACTCCACTTTACACCTCGTAAAAGAGTTTTCCACGCAAAGAAAGTTGTTGAACAAAAATAAAATCGTACTTAGGCCCTTTAAGAATTAAAATTGTATACTAAAAAAAAAGTTCACATTTACACGGGCTCTTGGATTACCCGGACCACACCGCACGCTGAAGTCGCCGCTCACCGTCATTCGTTACGCCACTGATTTCGATAGATTACCTATTGCTAATTTTATCTTCAATGTAAAACGGAAAAATTTCTCTATAGATGTGAATCAAAAAAAAAAAAAAAAAACATTCTAAAAATAAAGTAGGCACTATAATACAGTGGGTATATTTATATATTTAACGGTAAATATCACTTTAGTAGTAAAAAAAAAAAACCGTACATTTATTTATATATGTATAAATCGTAAACCAGCCAACTTTTAATTATTTAACACTTCATTAAATATTAGCACAATAATTATTATATGCTCAATGCTCATACAACTTTGGTTTTTAGAAACGTTTTTTTTTTTTAATTGTTTAGGATTCAACCGGTATAAAGCGTGCGCGCGCGCGTGTGTGTGTGTGTGTGTCATTAATTATGTGCGTGAATAATATTAATATGTTTTAATTTTTTAGAGATTAAATCCGGAAATATTTTTTACATTTGTTTTTATAGATTACAAAAAAAAAAAAAACTATATAAATTATTTATACATTACATTGTATGTGCGAATCACGTATAAATCATAAAACAAAAAATTTAATATACGCCCTTAAAAAATATTACAAGACACGTGTATAATATTATTGAGTAAACACTTATATATAAAAAATGTCTAATCGTTAAATTTCTATTATAATTTAATATACGAGTACTATATTGCATAATATTACGCGGTTGTTTTTTAGATTCTGAGCGAGGAATGTATTAGTGTTACTATAATGTGTGCTATTTTTATTTTTTTGTTTTATTTGCATCTGTGTACATATAGTTGGTGCGTGAGAAAGTTATGGTACATGGCTATCGAACATTGATTTTCATTTAGTGAAAAAGGTTTCAATTGAATAATATTAGATATATAGATTATTTGTTGGAGTGTTCTGACTATCAAATATTTGTAAATAAAGTGAATAGAAAATTGAAATCGTAATTGGATTCTTGCAGTGATTTTGAATTGGCGTGTGGTTTTAACCTCTTTTTCCCTTTACCTGCGCACCTGAGTTTATGCAGCTGTAGAGAAGTTGTGCTCTACTTAAAAAATGGACTTTTACCCTTATTCCTTTGTACTTTTCATACTATACTCCAGTCCGAATCTTGGGATTAGGTAAGCTCTGTCATATATTATCTATCTGTAACATTACTTTATTGGCATTATCACGTCACTATCCATTCGTATTCTACAGGTGTGGTTTTCCACCATGCGCAGTCATTATAAAATATTAATATTTATGAACTAAACATTAACGGGTATCTAATAAATTTGTTATCGTGTATATATATAGGATAAAATACAATCATTTTGTTCGGAAAATGTATCCTGAGTACAAATCTCGTGAGGTTTTTAAGAAACCGATCATTCCCAAAATCTATTTTTTTCTAATCTCATCATAGGAAATAAAAAATAAAACTTGTATTATTAAAGTTTGGTTAAGTTAATCTCGGTTAATTTAATTGATTTATTAACTAACTTATAAGTTAAGTACATTTTCAATTATAAGCCCTGCGATGAATGTATTTGTTTTACCATGATGTGTGTGTGTGTGCGTGTTTTTTTTTCTGTCTATAAACAACTTTTATACCAGAAATCTTGCTCTAATTTTCACGTGTAAATTCTTTTCTAAAAGAAAATTGTAATTTATTGGTAACTAAGCAGATAATTGTTGGTTTTCCTTTCAGTTTTTATAATAATTGGGAAAAAGTGTATTAAAAAAAGGAAAAATGTATGGAAATAACGGTTTTACTATTCTCACTTTTGTTTTTGGTTGTAATTAGGTTGAAAATAAATATAAAGAGCAGACATTTTCATAGAATTTGTATATTGGTTTTTTTAAGACATAATCTAATTCTGAAAATATTTTCGTGATTTTTGAACTATTTATAAGTAATTGATATTTTCGAGTTCTTCTAGTTTGTATATAGTTTTATTTGGATAAAATGGTTTTGGACGAGCAGAAATGTTTGAAATATTTGATGTTTTACACCTGGTTCATTATAATTTTTAAAGTAGTAAACATTTTTACGCAATGTAGTAGTTTTTTTATTTTTATAAAAACTTTTTTTTATCACAATGACTTAGTGAAAATGGTTAAAAATAGTATTTGTGATTTTTGAAAATAAGAGTGGTAAATGTAAATCATAATGGATCATGTTAAAAATGATGTACCCATAGTATAGATAATAGATATAGCCAGTAATGTATTGGTAAAATAAACCGTGGGTATAAGCGTTTTTCATATAGATACATGGAGTACAATACAATGGTATGGTTCAAACATTTGTTTCTTGCTTCGCTTTAATTATATTCATATTTAAATCCTTATATATATAAAAGAACAGACCTTTTTTATGTTCCAATTTTGTGATGACATTAATTAACTTTTTCCCAATTTTTTTTTTGTAGTATTGTTCCAAATACTTCCTTGAATGTCGCCTTATTAGCCTTTTTTTTTATAGTATATTAAATACTCGCTATTTATTAAATAATGCTAACAAAATACAGACATAATTCACCCGATGGATGAGCGTTGGACCACTGTTGTAAATGAGAAGTTGGGATGGTAGAATACAGAGGAGAATTTAATGTATATTTGTATGCAACGGTTAATCATTTCTAACAAAAAATGATTATGAGTGAAGTTTGGTTATACATGTTTTATAAGGCCGTAATATTTACGAATTTCGTCAAAATTTGATATTAAAATACTTTTAAAAAAAAATTCTTCATTAAACTCAATTTTTTTTTTGACCACAAAAGAACAACTTATAATGAACCACATGTTAAATTTTCAAGCATATCAGTTTAGTTTACAATTTTATCCATAGAGTACCTACTAAATAAAAAGGTTGTAAAAAACTCGTAAAATTAAAACGTCTATAAATCGCTCAAAAATGGCTAAATTGATTTGAACATTTTATCGCGTCTAGAAATGACAAATATAAGTTTTGATACAAAATTAAAAATAATAAAAACTTTACTTTCGTAAATTGTGTTTTTTTTTCTAAGTTTTTTTTTCGATATTTCCTAATTATTATGAAAACTGTATCGAAAACAACTTTTTTACTAACCAACTAGATTAAAAATTTAACAGCAATGATCTTTTGTCATTTTAGATTTAAGTAAGATTTCTAGTAGAAAACATAAGTTACAAAAAAAGAAAATCATGAAATCGTTATATTATGCTGTAAATGTTTGTCCGTTTATCCTCAAGTTTTTTCATGGATTTTCCCAATTATTATAAAAACAATCATTAGAAAATCAAAAATGATTTGCCAAATGTAACTAACTGAATACAATTTATTTTTATAAAAGGTATTACACTTGAAATTCAGAACAAGATTTCTGGTAGATATTTTGTACGCAGTATAAAAAAAAGCTGATACTGGTACAATACACTGGATACTGATACAATGATACCTTAAGAAAGTAAATCATAAAGTCAATAAAAAAGGTGTTTTATATTTTTTCGATTAAATTATTTTTTCTGGTAGAAAACGTCATCCGTATTTTTATAAAATAATGAAACCGTGAAATTATACGTTTTCCTATGTTTTTTTTCCCACTTATGTGCTTTTATTTAAAAAATGACTTATTCATAGTACAATCTAGACAACTTGATCTTTCAGAAAAGATGCTACACGTAAAAATTGGAGCAAGTTTACTGGGAAAAAATGTGTCCACAGACTAGAACAAAGAACAAGGAAATAAACAGCATTGTAAAACTAATAGCTCCCTCGCTATGCTTGGAATCTAAAAAATACATATTATTGTAAAACCAATACATTCTTTGCTTAGCTCAGAATTTAAAACCAGACGTAGATAGTTTGCACTAAATACTAATATACTACCTATAGATGTACTAATGATAATAAGTATAGAAGGTTATATTTGTTATAGAGTTTATAATAAACCTATAAATATTTACTTAAAGCAAAAAAACGATTGAAATCTAAAACTAACTATAAATGAGTAAACTGACAAGGTTATAGTATAAGTTGTATTTTTTGTCTTTGTAGCCAATTCTACAATAGATAATATAAAGTCGATGTATTATCTGTTGCATTATTTGTTGTAGGTTTTTTAATTATATTTAGTACAACTTTTGGGTAAAATGTAAAATGTATTTGTTGCTACTTTGCGTTTGAATTATTTTGTTTAGATTTTGAGTGTAATTCTAGATATCTAGGTATTTCATTTACACTTTTTCTGATAGTAATAATGATTTTTTCTTGCAAGTAGTTTCCATAAGTACTGCCGGGTTAATTATTCATCTGGTAGTAAGTTTTAAAATTATTTTTAGAAAAATGTTTCAAATCAACAGCTCACTTAGCCTGGCACCCGACTTTTAAATGCTAACTTAAACATTATGTTATAAATTATTTTTTATTATTTGTTGTAATATTTTAATCGAAATTCGGACATTTAAACCCTATTTTTACATACAAAAATTTCATTTTTATTTCTGAGTGCTGGAGAAAGCTTACCACAGTGTCCAGCTTACCAGCACTCACAAAAAAGGAATAAAAACATATTTTTCGGGTGTTGAAATGGAGTTCCAAATCCCAAATTTTGAGTTAAAAATAATAATAAATTCTAACCCATCATCTCACATTTAAAAAAAAATGATTTACTAGTTCATGATATAAGTTCCAATTAAAAAATTTCAAAATCGGGTATCGGGATAAGTGAGTTGTTTATTTGAAACATTTTTCTATAATAGCAAAATTTTTCTAAAAATAATTTAAAAACTTACTACTAGATGAAAAATTCACCCGGCAGTACTTATGGTAGCTACCTGCAGTAGATACCTTATTTTAGGTAATTTTGATAAGGAAAAATCATTATTACTAACCAAAAAAGTGTAAATGAATTATCTAGATTCCTATGATTACACTCAGAATCTAAACATAATAGTTAAGTAACACAATAGTCTTCACACATAATTTATTCTCTCTGTCCGTGTCACACGTAAAATAGCAACAAATACATTTTACACTTCGATGATTTATAACTCTCTGGTTGAGTTTAGGACGAGATGACCTATCATGTATATTTCATAAAGACGAGCATTTAATATTATTGTCAGAACAATTTGTTTTAATATTTTTATTTGTTAATAAATTATTAATGGGCACAATTAAGAGAAATTAAGTTAGATTAAAACACTCATTTTTACAGGTTAAAAATAAAAACAATTTGGTCAAGACATAGTAAATATACTAGTAAATGGTTCGGTTTAAGAGCGATTTAAGGCAGGACTTTTGGTAAAGGTTTTATTTCAACGTCACCGTACTAGTGCGTTTAATCGAAAATAAACCTTTATGTGTTATACAATATTTTTCTGTTATGTTTGTTTATAATACGGTTGCCCGTTCGTCCGGTATATTAGAATTATATTATACAGTTTAAGTGCGTGGCATTGAAGATTTCATAAATCATTTTGATGTTCTAAAAATTTGGTATCATTTAAATCGGTTACAAACGTACTATATGTATAATATATGATAGTGAACGTGCATGCGTAAAAATAATTTATGACGTACAAAGTTTTTATTTTACGATGTTAATAAATATTTAAATAATATATCGGCTAACGTATTATATACCTATATATATATAAATATATACAGAGTGGTTTTTTGTATCATGAACCAGCAATTATCTCAGAGGATTTGTTTTAGTGAATTTGATTTATGTTTTTTCTAATCATTATGGAATCGTTTAAGCTTTATTTTAAAACCATTTTTTAATTTCTTCCCCTACTCCATATACCTTAAATAAGTGCATACTTTTGATTTTCCAATAGGAACCTCCCCTTTTGAATACTGATTTGAATAGTTAATATTTTTCTAAAAATTATAATATGCATCACATTATTATCAGATTTACCGTTTATTAGTTATAACAATTTTTAAAGTTTAGACCAGAGGAACAGAGAACAGTCATAGATAGACAATTTATCACCCTACCCTACTTTTCCGGTCTAAACTTTAAAAATTGTTATAAATAATTAACGGTAAATCTGATATTAATATGATGCATATTATAATTTTTAGAAAAATATTCACTATTTAAATCAGTGTTCAAAAGGGGGGTTCCTATAGGAAAATCAAAAGTATGCACTTATTTAAGGTATATAGAGTAGGGTTAAAAAATTAGAAAATGGTTTTAAAATAAAGCTTAAACGATTCCACAATGATTAGAAAAAACATAAATCAAATTCACTAAAAATCCTCTGAGATAGTTGCTGGTTCATGATAAAAAAATTTACTCTGTATATATTATATTATATTATTAGTTTAGAGTATTTTTAACATACATTCGTATATGGCTATATATTATATATTTAGATATTATAAGTGGATTAAAATACTTAAAAAGTGACATTCAATATATATAATTACTATTATTATACGAATATAGTGAGCCGATGTTAAAATGTTATAAAACCTTAAAACATTTATTAAACGTGTCTATCAAAACCAGTGACTATTTTTTTTGACTTTCCGTACCTAGTGCAAATATGTGTAACCAAAACGTTATTTATTTATGGAATTTTAATGTAATTTGCCATTTAAAAATCTAAAGTGGTTAGTGGTTTCACTCTAAAAAATATCGGCCATGTAACATTTAAGAGCTATTTGTTACACAAGTTGTTTAAAAAAAAAAAAATAAAAAAGTAAATATTTTCCGAAATAATGTGTGTTATATCAAGGGTTGATTATACTCTAAATATTTTTTAGATAAATTGTTTTTCTTACATTGCAGAACCTTGTGATTTATCTATAATCAAAACGCAGGTGGTAAGTGTAAATTTTAATTTTTTGTAGTGCACATTTGTGTATAATGTGTATTGTAGTGTACACGAAAATAGTCACTAGTCATAATAATATATTCATCGTATTTATTTTTATTTTTTAACGTAAAAATAAAAAAGGGAGTAATGTTTATACATTTAATAATAATACATAGTTTCTAAAATAATTAGATGCTGATACATAAATCATGTATCATATAAATACATAACAATTTAAGTATCTAAAAATTAGATATTTAAATCTATAGGATCATAATTTTGATTCTACATAAATTAATTAATCCGTAACTGTTTATCTAGATAAAAAAAAAAAATAATTGTTTTATTTAATTATTTATTAAAAAACCAAGTACTCAAATCGTACCAGATATTATATGCTATACACAGTCATCTACTTCTCCTTCTCTTTTATCTTCATACCAACTCTTTACGGTCGACCACCTTCGTTTTAAATTTCTATTTGGCCCGATCCTCCACATTGCTTTCTCATACGACCGTTATCCTTATATCATACTGAATTACATCCAACGACCTCTACTTTGATCTTTCTCTTCTCTAATTTCTTCCTATATTTATTTACATTACCATTCTCAATGTTTCTGGTTCATCCTTCCTCATGATATGCTCAAACCTTGTCAGTCTATTTTCTTTTATTTTGACTACTATCTTCTACGTACTCACTTCTCGTTTCTTATCTTGTCTTCTCTCGCCATGCCATTTATCCACCTAAGCATTCTTATCTCTGCTACACTCATTGTTTGTTCAGTTTTTCTGTCTACACATCATCATAAAAATTAAAAAGGCTTTACGATTTAACTTAAAAATTAATATATAAGCCATATCGTTAATATTGACTAAGTCGTTAATTAAAACCAAACTACAACCTTTTCTTTTCAATTAATATATGCTTCATAGTTATCCTTATCACTGTAGAATGGATTTATATGGACTTTAAATTTACAAAAAAGCTCTGAAAAAATATTTGAAAAACAAAAATAGTAGAGGAATTTAAAAGTCCCCCTAACTAATGTCCCTAACTTATAAAATAAAAATGAAATGCCTAACAATACAAAAATGATTAACACAAAGAAATTGTTTTGAAAATAAAATTGTGGGTATTATAAATAATGGCAATCGTACTTGTAGTGTTGAATAATTTTAATTTATAGGTTAGAACCGAGCGGGACATTTTAAACCCATCTGCGATTTTTAAATATTTGTTCTGTGCTTTCTTTAAGTGTTTTTTTTTTTTTTCTAAGACTTTAAGTGTTATTTGTGGATTTTAAGTACATATAAATAATCTATTTCTTATATATCACTTGTCAGACAGATATAGTGCGATGCGCATATTTTCGACGTTCGAGAATTTAAAGGGTTCAGCGGGTTATAGCGTTGGTTTTGTTTTATGTTGTTCCACGAGGATATTTATCTTTTTTAATTTGTATACGGAATATCCTATCAAGAATGATATTTATGTTGTTACATCTATTATAACTTGGATTGTCTTGGAAAATATCGAGGCCCTCTGTGGTAAATTTTTCGGGGCCTTAATAAGCTTTTTTTTGCTTCACCTTCTGTATTATCAAATGTGTAGGTAAATCTTTACTGAAAAATTCTTATAGTTCCACTATTTTAGATTTATATTTTCCTACTAAACAATTATGTGAAATTATGAGCTAAGATTGCGACTTGACGGAGGACCTCTTAAATCGCTGGGCTCTGTGCGCGGGTGCAGTTTGAACCGCTTTCAAGCCGGTCTTGATTATAACAATATCATACATTTATACAGATATGTAAATTATTAAAAATAGACGTATTTATTGGACATCTCCATTTTAATTATACAAGATAAAACGAAAAAAATAAAAATAGTGTAAAACAATTAATGTAAAAATATCATCGGTATATTTTAAACTTGAGTCGAGACGACGACAACGTGCAAACGTAGGCGCACAAGATATAAGTAGAATAATATCAATGATAGTTGTGTTTTTTTTATTAATATGATACAATCGAGTGTGTCGGTTTTCATTGTCATGGTTATAATTTTTTTTTTTTTTTTGTAAATAACGTAAACTAGGCCGTGAGGAAATTTTTTTAAAAATAAACAACCTAGATTTTCGTATGATTTTTATGCCCTCCTGGATACAAAACCGTGGGATTGACAGTAGTCCGAGGAACGTCACAGTATGCACAAGTGTACATAATGTAATGACGATTTAATATCTTGTCACAACTTATGCCAAAAAAATAGAGTTAAATTTAACTCATTTCGCTTGAAAAAACACCCAGACTACGCGCGGATTTCGCCGTATGAATAACAAATAGTTTATTTTGCTTTTTTTTTGTTTTATTATTATTGTAATTATAAATTCAATCTTCGACTAAATATTCAAACCCGGAATTCCGTAAAACAGTCTGCGGTTTTTTACATAGACGAACTGGCAATATTAAAAATGAAAAAAAAAAAGAAATAATCCGATCTTTTTGAAAAATAATGTTTAAATTGATGATGACATATTTAATTGTACACACACGCACCTAAGTGTAGTTTAATTATTCTCGTCAATTATATTAAAGTTGTTTTTGCATAAGTCTTTTATGACGTTTGTGTAAATACAAGTTTACAATGATGTTTATATTTGTTTATCTGCAAACAACTTTTCTACCTGAAATTTGGCTCCGATTTTTAAGTGTAGCAATTTTTCTGAAAGGAAATCTAACTGGGGTGGTCATTTTTTGATTTTCCCAGAAGTTTATATTATGAATGGGAAAACTCGTAAAATGTACGAAATGTATTATTTTCAAATCTTAAATATTATGGTCTTTCGAAACATGTACAACCGAACTCCGCTCAGAATCATTTTTCGCTAGTAATGGTTAATTGTTGCGTACATATATATGCATTATACGCAGATATTATATTTTTCCTCTACCTTCCTAACTTCTCACCTAGAACAGTCACCCACTCATCGTGTGAAGTATGTCCGTTTTTTTTTATTATTAATTAATCCACTCGACTCTTATTATTTCGAGCGTAGGTATAATATTGATGGTTTTAGATTTACGTATATTACTACTGGTATACACTGATAGCTTCTTACCGTATAGGTATATCTAATATTTTACTTTGTATAAATGAATCTGTTATTATTTTTTTCTTTCTCCGAGTATACGGCACCGTTTAAAGTATTACGAAAATATAGTATCAGAGAATCGGCAATGTTGTAATTGTACATACTGAATGTAACGAAGAATGTATTGGTTTTACTAAGATGTTTTGTTTTTTTTTTATTTATACTGTATACAAAAATTCGACCATAAATCTTGCTTAGATATATACGCGCGGCATCATTTCTGAAAGAGAATGTTGTCCAGATGGTACTTTAAGGAGGTCATTTTTTGATTTTCTAAGCGGTTTTCATAATATTTAGAAAAATCCAGGATAAAACATAAGAAAAACGGGAATTTACGAAAATAATGCTATTATTATTTTTCAATTTTGTTATTTATTGTAATTCAGTTAAAAATATTCGTAGAGACTCGAAATTTAGACAAAAAACTTTTATTTACCTTATTATTTATATTGTATGTTATGTTAAATAACTATATTGGTCTTTGTATATATGTCGTGATCTAATGGTTATTTATGCCTATTATGATCCTAGAGGTTCCGAGTTGAAACCAGTGTGCCAACAAAAATGTTTTACATTTTTTTTTCTCTTACCTGAACAAGGAAAAAACAAATGCATTTTGGATATACCTAGAAACCCAAGAAATCGTTCCTTCGGACTATTTTAATCGCAAAATACCGCTTTATTTGTTGTGCAAACTTTTCTACCAGAAATCTTGCTTCGATATATCAAGTATAGGTTATTTTTCGAAAGGAAATTTTATCTTCATGATAATTTAGAGAAGTCGTTTATTGATTTTTCAAGTGATTTTCATAATATCTGGGAAAAACCGGGATAAAATGTCGGAAGAACGGAAAATGTATGAAATGTAGGTGTTAGTAAAAAAATATTATGGCTTTTTTTTCTGTGTACAATTTTTTTATCAGAAATTTCGCTCTAATTTAAAATGGTAATACTTTTTTTGAAAGAAACTCTAACTGGGAAGGTACTATAACGAGGTAATTTTTCGATTTTCCCAAAATTTTTCTTAATAAATAGAAAAAATCGATGCTTTAATAAACAAATATTATTAAAGAAAATATTTAAAGCCTATTTAATTATTTTACCATAATATAATAATATATAATGTATGACATACATTGAATGTTGTTGACAAAGCATCACTATCAATTGACCTGCGCTCAGAATCGTTTTTTCGTTATTAATGGTTAATCGTTTCTTACAGATATACATTAAATTACCTAGAAACAGTGGCTGCACTCGTGTCCATTATCCTAGGACATCTTTTTTTTTTTAAAAAATTAATTTTATCAGCGAACGAATAGGTTAAACTTTCGTGGACTCTTTTCTCCTCACATCCTCCTCCCATAAAAAAAACACGATTTACAGACAAAGTAATAAAAAATACTGTGTAGGTCTGACGAGTTTCGTTTGCAATAATTTAAAACCACATAAACATCTTATCACTATTATCAGATAATTAAAATTATCCCCATCAAAATTAACCATAATTTATTTTTATTTTTTCTGCTAAATTTTTGAGTTGTTTTCTATTTTCGATTCAATTAAAACGTTTTTGCCCCCTTTTTTCATAAAAATAGTAGTTTAAAGCGTTTTTTATGGCGACGAAACTCGTCAGCAACTCTTTTATTCAAGTTTACCAAATTTATACACAATTATATTAAATAAACAAAACTCACGATTTCAAATAATATACGAAAATATATTTAATATACACACATACCGTTAGGTGGATTAAAAAAATAAATATTTTTTTTATTGAAAGCCTCGAAACAGATTCGATGTATTCAGTTGTTTACTGCTTATATGTATTGTTTTGTGAAATTCAAATTTACTTTTCTTGTATATCGCAGTGTTGAGTTTATGAGTTTATACAATTCAATACAATTTTTTTAAACGTGTACTCGTCTCGATGAGAAGTTATAATTTTAATTTTTCACTATAAAATATTAAATGGCATAATAGAAAATACTAACTTTTTATAGTTGTAATTCATTATATTTATTCAATTTCACTTGAAAGTGGAATGTTTTTCGTTTAAAACAATTTTTTTCGTGCTATTTAAATCAACTGTTTTTGTACGTTGAATTTTTTTTTAATAATGTATTTTAAATATCTCAACTCTATATCGTTATATCGAAATTAATATTTAATTATTATAAACAATTCTAAAAAAAAAAAAAAAATTGCAGTCTATGTTTTTTTTCGGATTACGGAATGCTACCCTTTCCTCCTATGTTTATTACTTAAATACCCTTAAATGTATTAAAATAAATTTTTCTTACCGTTATCGTCTTTATCTTTTAAATTACCAGTTGTATTTGATCTTTTTTTCAAAAGGTACGGCCTGCGCTTTTTTGGACCAGCTGATAGCACATTACCTAATATAAACATTAGATCAATTTTAATAACCATTAAACGTGAAAAACATAGCACATACAATATAATTCATCTTTATTACCACTAGTGACTATTTAACTTCTATATCAATAGGTCTGAATGAGAGTTATAACCCTCTCCTCTGGGGTTTTTTGGTGTGTGAACTGTGGGGATGGTGCTATGAATGTTTTAGGTGATAAAAGGGCTGCAAGCATGTTTTTGTATGTATGCTTCATTCGTTCCAAGAATGAAGTTTTTATGGTTACCTATTCATTTAATTTTTAATTTTTTTTTCCTAATGGACACTTAGAGTATAGATTGAAGTTGTCACCTATGGCCAGTATTGCTGCTATTGTCACTCATTTTTATTTTATTCATAAATAGTGGAAATTTGTAGTTTGATAAGCCATATAGTTATTCTTGTCATGGCTTATACTAATAGACGAGATATGTGTAATCTGTACATTTATACTGCGGTCAAACACAGAGCGTATTTTTAGTGACTGATATTAATGCACGATTACAAAATTACGGTGTTCTTATCACGAAATTTTATCCAAAATGTAATAAATTAACTTAATATACCTTTCAAGTTATACTTTAATGTCGTTTTTAGTAATTATCAATAATGTCTTAAATTATTTTTAACAATAAATATGGGTTCAAATGTATGTGGTTTGTTTTAGAACTGATTAATATGTTTCAAAAATGTAGGTGCATTAAAAAAAAAAATTCGTAAAATGTTTGAAAACATACAAACTGCTACAGATGTCAACAAATTATGGATAAAATGCAATGTGTTTATTTCCTGTATCCAATTCAATATTATTTTGTACAATATTAATGATACAGAGTGGTGCAACTTAACGTAATGTTTTGGTGTACCACTGCATTATATTTGACCGCAGCTCGTAATGTATAATATTAAGCAATATTCGGAAGGCACGAGTCTACTAGTACAGGGTACCTTTATGGTTGTATTCATCTACATTAATTAATTTTTTACTGGGTAATATTAATTATTACAAAAACATAGAAAGTGAAGGATGGCCATAGCACGAGCAAATACAATTAAAAAAAATGTATGCTATTTTTTCATTCCATAATATTAGTATAGGACTCTGAAAATCAAAAGAGACTTTGGTAAACTTATAATATTATTATGGTTTAGTTTTGAATTATTTTTAATAACCGTAAATAGATTAGATTAAATATTAGAAAAAAATTCTTATGATGGCCGTAAGTTAAGGTCAACAACTCCATTCTATTTATAATTATTTGTTCATTGATCATTTCGATTTTTTTTTTTTTTAATTTTACATTCAGCAATCCCTCTTACTTCCCATACCCTTAATTACGTGATTTTCACGTTGTGAACGTTGAATAATCTTTTGCTCCGTAAGGCAATGGTAACTTTGAATATGTTAAAAAACGCTGTCCTGTACACAGTATAGCGATAAGTAAATAAATAGCTATACCATTCAAAAGGCAAATATTTTTTTTGAGTAATATGAATTAAGTAATAAATTATAAGTAAAAAAAAAAATCGGTTTTTTATTTTTTAAAATATAATGATAAAAATTATATTTAAGAAATGGAGTTTGGCCAAAAATATAAAATATTTTTGATATTAAAATTTACAATCTCTGAATACGTGTATTCTATAATGAAATATTCTACAATTATATTACTTTATTCTATACAGAGTGCTCGTGGTATTTTAAGTGAATTTGCTATCTGTTTTTTTTTTTTTTAGTTGTGCGATCGTGAGGGCTTTATTTTAAAAACCATTTTTAATTTTCTACCTCAAATTCATATACCTTAAATAAGTATATACTTTTGTTTTTCAAATAAGAATTCCCTTTTTTAAACACAGATTCGAATGGAGAATATTTTCTAGACATTATTATATGCATGCCACTAATATTAGATTTAGTGTTCATGAGTTATAATCGTTTAAATAAACTTTAATTTATCATTTGAAAATATGTATGCAATTTATTACTCTTCCCTACTCCTCCGGTCAAAACTTTAAACAGTTATAATTCATAATTATGAATTATTATTAAGTCATAATTAAGCGGTAAATCTAATATTAGCTTATCAACATTTCTAAAAAACATATTCCTCATTCGAATCTATGTTTAAAAGAGAATAGAAAAAACATTTGAAAAATAGAAGTACTACTTAAATAAGATATACAATTTAAAATCGTTTTAAAATATAGCTTAAACGATTCCACAATAATTAAAAAAAATAAAAACAGGGAATAAATTTACTTAAAGTCTTCTAAGAAAATTGCTGATTCGTGATAAAAAAAATCACTCTGTATACACGTGTATTATAAATTATAATACGCGTTGTATGATGATACCACCCAAAGAAAACAAATGTCTTATAGCTTAGTTAAAATTCATTTTAATTTCTTATTGGTGTTTTAGATTAAAAAAACACGAACGAGAAGAAGAAACATAGGCCGTTTTAAATAACAGATGTGCGTAGAAAAGTAAACTTCGGACAACAATATGACTCAAATAAGAATGGATTCCCTAATGTTATTTGTTGAACAAGAAAAAAAGAAAACAGTGAAAATTGCTCACTCCAATGAAACCATTGAGGAGTTTAAAACATTAAACAACACAAAATGTCACTTTATATTATAATTTAATATTTGTTGTATAATTAATTGAATAATTTTCTTTTTCGATACATGAGGTTTTTTATTGGAGGTGTAAACAAACTTCGACATAAACAGCAGATGTTTTTCGCACAGCATTCAATTTTTTTCAACAGTTTTCTTTTTTCTTTTTAAAGACCTGAACAAAATTTATCGAAGGTTTCTGGAAATTCTATGTTGTTTTAATGCGAAAAACCAAGTGCTCTGTGGCACCCTTTAATACTAAGATAGAATACCCAAATTTGGACATGTTTTTTTTTAACTATTTGGAAAGAGTTCTTGGAAGGTATAAATTATTTTACTAGTTAAGGATCACTCTAATCTATAAAAACAAAATATAAAGTTGGTAGGTAATTATAGGTATTATTTTAAGGAAAGTAAAAATTATAATTGGTTACGAGTATAAGGATGGACATATTTTACTCGTATTAAGACTACGCATCATATGTTACTTTACCTGTTGGTATTCGTATTGGAACTCCGAGACTTATCTCTTGAAGCTTATTTAAGGAAACGAACGAAAGCACTTCTTTTTCGAGATCTGTCAGATCCAATAGTGATATCTCCTATAAATATAAATGATTCGTGCAATTAAATGCAATCAATTGTAACAATATGGAAATATAAAACGTATTATAGAGTTTTGATAATATTTACCTTCAACAGGATTGATTTTCCACTAGCGTGCAGCCATAAACAATTACCCTAAAAAAATATAAAACAAACATTTTTATAACAGTTATTTATTAACACTTATTTTATAAAATAATAATTCTTGTCAATCAATTCACTTATTAATTGGCGGAACGTAGTACGAAAAAAGTACGTTTATACATAATGGTATAGAATGCGATCTAATGATGGAATAAGGAAAAATAATTTTAGTATTACAAATTATTATGAAATATTAAAACGAAAAAAATGCAAATACAGTAATATATGAAAATTATTGGGTTTTTTTTTTTTTTTTGCAATTTTTAATAATTATAAAATAAACTTTTTTAGATTGTTAGAGAAGGGGAATTCACTTCCTTATAGTTCTGGGATTCCGGGATTGATTTAAATGGTTTATTTTATCTCAAATTTAAAAATTATTGTTATTTATTCGAGGTACGTTCTTGTAATAGTTATTTAATATGTTGTCTCGGGAATGTAAAATATAATAACATATAAAATATTATTCTAGTTACCTATACTTTAATATAATAGTTATCTAATTTTAAACTACAATAGTATATTATATACTACATATAATAACAAGCAATAAATTAAAATGTATGTCAAAAGTTTCATAACGTCTTAAAGATTAAGAGAACGTGATATCTGCATGCGCAGCTGTCTTCGTCTTACAAACGTATGACATAGTAAATTTACGTTCGGCAGGGACAGACCTGCCGATTATTAATTATAAATCTAATAACACACATTTTTATGCCAATAAGTTTTAATATCAGAATGAATTTACCTATTACCAAACTTCAAAAGATAAGAAATTAAGAACACAATCTGTGCAACTACGTCGGATATTATAGATGTTTAAATTTTCAAGTGTGAAATAAAAATATGAATTATTGCAGTTTAAAAACAGATCAATTCATTCTAATGATCTAGAACTAAAACTAATAGCACAAAGTTCACTCTGCTGAACATATATTTTCTATGTCGTACGTTTTTATGACGGAGACAACACATGCGGATATCACGTCCTCTTAATCTTCAAGTTTTTAAGAATTGCTTATTATTATGTTTACTAAATACAACATAGTTTAAAAGTAGATAATTATTGTATTAATTGTATTTAAGTATATGAAGTACCTAAAATAATATTTCATATATTATTGTGTTTTGTATCCCCGAAACGTCATATTGAATATTACAAGTATTACAAGGTAGGTACCTACCTCGATTAAATTACAATAATTTGAAATTTAAAATAAAATAAACCATTAAATTAATCTCGGACGGGCTGCATGTCTGTGTAGATATCACGTTCTCTTAAATATTAGTAAAGTACTCGTATATTATAATAACTTATATTTTACGAATTAATAAAAAAAAATAAAAATTGTTTTTGCAGAATTTAATACAATGATATATTATACAGTCTGAAAAATAAATCATTTTCAACAAGCATATTACACACGAAGAAATATATTATTATAACGCAGAACAAAAAGATAACACGCGAATAACTACAGAAATAAAAGAAGACCACCCAGCTGCGATAGGACACTTTTTGGCTTGAAATGTAATTAATAGTATACTCCTCATATATTTATATTTATTTTTTTCGAATTATGATAATTTATTTGAGGCCACGACGCTAGTGGTCATGGGAGGATTTCCCGGGACGTGATTCGCGTCCAACATTTGTACAATATGCAGAGGGCTCGGACGAAAGCTTTGCCCGTAAGGCGTAGGTATTGAATTATAATTACACCGTATTTACTATCTCGTAAAATGTATACATTTTTTTTTCTTCAGAATACAGTATATTTGTTTTATTTATTGATATTTTGCAATTAATCGACTGACATTTTGCAGTGTTAATATATTTTATTTTAAATTTGCAGCGTAGCAAGGGATTAATCGGTTTTTCTATGTAAGTATGTATGTATGTATGTGTGTGTGTGTGTTTTTTCTTTTTTATGTCGGCGAGCAATTTTTCGACCAATAATCTTGCTCTAATATAATAAAAGCATAGCACTTTTTCTGTAAGGAATTTTATATAGTTTGTAATTTTTGATTTTCCTTCAGATTTTAAAAAAATTCCGCTAAAAACCAGAGAAAAAATTGGTTAGTAAAACGACAAGTATTTAGGGCGCGCTGCGTCGTGGCGTTACCGATTTTATTGTTTTTAGTTTTTGCAAATTATATGTTTTCTACAAAAAATATTCCTTTAATAAAAGAATATCAAGTAACCTTTTTCGGTCCTTTTAATATGGACATTGAAAAAGAAGTCATTTTTTGATATTTAAGGTAATTTTCATAATAATTGAGAAAAACCAAAAAAGACAAAAAATACAATCTTTTCAAATAATGGCACAATGATTTCATTACTTATATGCATATTTTTTGAAAGAAAATGTTGTCTAATTCGTGAGTAAGAAAGTCGTTATTAGATTTTCCGTATAATTTTCCTATTAATTATAGAAATCAGGAAAAACGTAGGAAGTAAGACAAAGTGTACGGCATTAGGGTTTTTGTTTATTCCGTTAAAAACTATTATAAAGACCTGTACATTTCTCAAAATTCTTATATTAGCCTTTTTTAGGGATGATCAAATTTTTCAAAATATTCTAGCTATTTTTAGGCTATTTATAGGTAATTGATATTTTCATGTTTTTATATGTATTTTTATTTGGTACATATCTGTTATTAAAATTAAATGATTTAAGAGAAATCAGCTTTAATTGAATTTATTTGGGTTAGATATAAATGCTTCATCAGGAACAAGGAACATACACATTTGCTGTGCGCTATAAGACAATTAGAATTTATACTGGCAGTTCATATACTGGGAAATATGTTGAGTATAAGATCACCATTATATAAGTATTTTTAGATACAGAATATAGATTTCGTCAAATAAATTCAAACCACTGACGACATGACAATATAATTAAACAACTTAGATTAAAATGATACAAGTGGATTTAAATTATATTTTATAATATAAAATCATCTTAATTTGGTAACTTAAACATTGAAATATCTATTAATTGTACAGTTAACCAGCGAAAAACAGATGCAATGTACAGGTTAATTTGCCTGTAGATTACTACAAACTATTTTTATTCATTCCATTTGTAGGTCATTTTTTAAATCAATTTAATGAGTGATTTTAACTCATAAATCTATGGTTAACAATTTTAATTTTATTTTAATATCATCCATTATACTTAATGAATAAAAAAAATTAAGCTACTATAGTTGAAATGTATCGGGGCGATTTAATTACAATATTTTAGCAGCAGTGGTTGAAATTAAATTTAGCAACTAACATTTTTAGGAACTCAAGATGACCAAACAATGCTTTTCGATGCTTTTTAAAAATATATTATTTCAATTTTCTCTTCTTCTTTTAAACTTCTATAGATTTTAGCAACCCTCTCAGTTACAACCGCTTGCAGTAAATGATCTTTTTCAATATTAAACAAACTAAAAACATATTTGCGAAACACCACGTGTGAAAGTAGATTGAATGTTTTGGCAATGATGAATATACACAGTGATATAATTATAGACCCCGATGATTTCCTAAATAAATTAGCTACCAAAACAAGCAAAATGCGAATATTGTATTGTAATTAAAATACAAATTGTAGACTTTATAAATATTTTAAATAAAAAACTCCAAAATCAAAAACACTTATCTATTGTTCAGACCTAAACCCTAAACCTCCTTCATTGAAAAATCCTGACTACACCATTATGAGCTAGTATATTTGGAAAAATACTTAGAAAATTGGTTTAAAGTTTTGATATTGATATTATTGTAAATAAGGTTAGAAAAGCCCACTATACGAATGAGCTAAGATCCCGGTTTCTAAAAGTATTTTAAACAATAAATCATAGTTCCATAAAAAAATTTGAAAGAATTTAGTACCCAAGTATATTATACTTATGTGTAGAAAACTTAAATAAACTTTAAATTTAAATAATATTGTATAATAATTATTTTACTACTTTATATTTTTAATATTAGCTAGTATGAATGTATATTTAATATTTATATCCAAATAAATAATGATAATAATACGACGAATTAATATTTAAATTAAGAAAAATAATGTTACGAATAATATTATATAATATCTTTTAGTCAACCAAATAAACAACCGTAACTATGTACTAATAACTATGGATAATTATTAAAATCATTTATCACAATTTTTAACCAAACCGTAGATTGTGGTTTATGACTATTTTAACAAGTAACGACTGATTACAATATTAATCACGATATTTGATACATTCGTGTGTTTATTCATAAATATTAATGTTTTTTTGGGAAATAATAATACAGCCAGAAGACGTTTTGAACCAATTAGCAGTGAAACATGAAAAAGAGCTGATACGTTGGGTGGGAGCGATCACTGTTGTAAGTGAGAAGTTGGGAAGGTAGGATATATAAGGTTATTTTATTTATATTTGTAAGCAACGATAAACCATTGCTTGACGATTTCGAGTGAAGTTCGGTAATACATAATTTGAAGTGTCGTAATTATTTTTGCAATTTTCATTTAAAATTGATTTCAAAACGCTTATTAAAAAAAAAGTCATCCAATGATTTTGGAAATTTAACTACGTTTAGGTAAGTCCAATATAAATATTATTACCAAGTTTCAATTCTTTGCGTGTATTTATAACCGAATTACATAAAAAAAACTCACAAAAATTAAAATTCGTTAAAAGCTCAAAAGTGACTTAAAGTTTTGGCAATGATACCCTGTAAGAAATTAAATCAAAAAGGCAACAAAAAATGTTGTGATTTTTGATTAAATCATTTTTTCTGGTAAAAAATGTCGTCCGTATTTTTAAAAAATAATGAAATCGTGAAATTGTACATTTTTCTACATTTTTTTCGGTTTAAGTGTTTTTAGTTAAAAAAATAGTATCAAAAATCAAAAATGATCTCTTAAAAGTACAATTGACAATTTGAGCTTTCAGAAAGATTTCTACACGTAAAAATCGGAGCGAGTTTACTAGAAAAAAACGTGTTCACAGACTAGAAGAAAAAAATAATAATAAACAGCATTGTAAAACCAATAGCTTCATCGTTATGATCAGAATCTAAAATACGTTTATTATAAATTAATAGTAAAAAATGTTAAGACTCATATTGTCGTATATTTATATATACCTATCAATTGAAGAATTTTATTTTTTCTATTCACACCACTGAACCTGGTTCTTGAACGTCTCTATAAGAGTATCTATATCTAAACATTGACCAAAATACCTTATAAAAAAATCTGTCCTAGGGTAATGGGGACGAGTGCAGCCACTGTTATAGGTGAAAAGTTGGGAAGGTAGTAGTGGGGAAATTTAATGTTTATCGGTAAAGAACGATAGACCATTACTAACAAAAAGACGATTCTGAGCAGAGTTCAGTTGATAATGTTGCTTGGTCAACAATATATATATATATATATATATATATAATATCATAATATCATATAATAAAATAATAACAAATGCATTATTTATATATATTCTTTAATATTGTACCTATTTTCCTATTTTTCTCATGTTTTATCTCGGTTTTTCCAATTTATTGGGAAAACTCCTGGAAAAATTAAAAAATAATCCTCTTAAAGTACCTCTTCAGTCAGATTTCCTTTTAGAAAAAGTTTTATCATTATAAATCGAAGCAAAATTTCTGGTAGAAAAGGTATCCATAGAAAAAAAAAAAATTGTAATAAATGTCATTGTACTAATAACCAAAACCAATACATAACTCGCTCCACACAGAATCTAAAACTGTAAAAGTTAATAGTATAGTTCATACTTCAAACCTCCCATTACTTAATCCTGGCTATGTCACTGTGTATTTTTATATGTTTTTAAGTGCTGCACATTTCATGGATAATCATGTAAACATCTAAAATCCCATTCATGGTATTTCATGGTTTGACTCACAACAGGTCCACTAAAATATTTTTAAACGATGATTTTTTATGAAATCGAAATAAATTAGAATTAAAAACATAATACTTATACCTGGTGTTTCATCTATCACGGATCAACGATTTTCTTGAACGATATAAAGTGAATTTGATTTCTGTTTTATCAATAATTACGCAATCGCTTAAGCTTTATGTTCACACTATTTTCTACTTTCACCTCTGTTCCTTGTATCCTAAGTAGGTATACACTTTTATTTTCAAACAGGAACCGCTTCCCCTTTTAAACAAAGATTCGTATTTTTTTTATTTTTTTGATATGTATGATAGTAGTAACTATCGGATTTACCATTTATGAGTTATAACATTTTAAAATTTAGACAGAGTAAGAAATAACCATAAACTATTCATATCCATTTTAAGATGATAAATTTATTTTGGGTTTTTCGGTTAAAAATCTAAAGTGTAAATTAATTTTAAAGTATAAGAAATAGGAGCAAAAAATTAAAATAGTATTTAAATAAGTGAAGCTTAAATAATTGACAATTGCACAAACAGAATTTAAAATCTCTTAAATTCCTCCTAGATAATTGCTGATTCGTGATTAATGGATCACTGCATTGAAATGAACGTGCAAATACACTATTTACGTTCATCTGGAGTTCATTAACTCTCCTATTTGTTTAATTTGTCTGTCAAATATATGCGTATGGTGTCTGTAGGATATATTATTACTTTGATTTGTATACTACCCGTACGGATTAGTTCTGTAAGTTTTGTCTCCTCCATAGTCACGTATTATGAATGCGTAATCAGAAGTGGACTTAGGGGTATATTGCCCCTACCCTCCCCCTAATGACCGTTTTTATTTTAGTTGAAAGTAGTGAACATTTAATATATCATATTACTAAACTAAATCATTTTAAACAATTATTTTAACATTTTTGAAATATTGTGTATTTAATGATTGGGAAAAATTTAGGAAAAACGGGAAACTTTACAAAATTAATGTTTTAATTAATGGCTAAAATCCAAATCTTTTAATGTACAATACTAATAATTATCAGCCTTCTTACTAACAAAGATGTGAACTTAAGGCAAAAACGGATATACAAGAACGAGGTGAACCGTTGTAAATTTCAATAAATATTTCAAATAAAGTAGTATCGGGGTAAATTCCGTATCTTTTGAAGTACTGCATGAAAATATATTAAAAAGTATTGAAAAATGTTTCAACATAATACTATCAGAAGAAAATCGGCAACTTATAAGATTTTAATTATTACAATAAAATTTAGGATTCGTCGGGAAACAATTCGCTTGGAAAAATATCACTCGCTTATAATCTCGGCAATTCATAAAATTGTTTTAAACTTTCAAACGTTTATTACTATACACAATGATCGCGTTCAAAACATGTTCGTTCCATTTCATGTGCTGTTAGCCTAACGACATTGAACGTACGGTAAGTGGCCCACTGTTTAAAAAAATTGTTTTACAATATCTATACGTACTTAGCCAATTACACGTAAATATTGCCAAAACGATGTTTAAGCTTTTAGGATACCCAGTGTAAGTAATTCATTGAGACAGCAGAGTAACGTATAATTAGTATTATTCGAGTATTGTTTCGTCGAAAATTACACGCGTTATGCCGAGTGAGGGGGAAAGGATCAAAATTAACCCGCGCGCGACACGTGCCAAATATAATATTAACTCTGGCCAAAGAAGATAGGTACTTCCTATTCGATGTCGAACTGAAAAAAAAATCATTTAACCAAATACCGTAGATTTCAATATTTTTGTTGTTGTATACATTGTCGCGGTGTAAATACAAATGTATTTGAATGGTATTTAGATTTCTGAGTATTATTATTATACTCTATTAACTACAAACGTCAATTCTTGCAAAGTAAGGATCACCAGCATTGTATAAATAGTCTATATTAGGGGTTTTTGTATTCATTCATGAAAAATCCAACGACTGGAATGGTATATCTGAATACCATTAATGCGAAAAACACCGATTCGTCAATGTGAATAATTTCATGGGATCACTATAAAGAAAGAAACAACACGTGTTCAATTGTCTTGACAAATTTTTAACATATGTCCCTTTAGGGATTCATATAATTAAACATAAAAAGTATGTTTAACAACATGTCTTGTTATTTTGATACAAATCTTCAAAAATTTTCAAAACGATAGACGCTCTAAATATTACCAATCACCAGTTTTGTACTATACTTGCGGTTAACCGGTACATTTTTTTTTCTTTTAGTTAAAAAGCTACAAAAATAAAATTTTTATATAGTTATTTTTTGTTAGTTTTTTTTTTACGAAAAATTGTTTGGGATCTAATTGTTTAAACAGAGTATCGTATGTCGTACACGACATGAACAATTTTGAGCATTTTAATTAAAAGAAAAAGTGGTTTCCGAATGAAAAAAAATTATTAATATTATATCGATCTGAACGAGACAATGGCACGATGATGTTTCCCCTTACAGTCTCTACGCCAATCGAATCTCCTGTTGTTTTCTATAAATGAAGACACCGAGAATCGTTAGTGCATCATTGGATAATTTCTATATTATAATATTCAGACCATTTCCATGTTCAAATGTACACAGAGTTAAGTCCAACGGATACCAGGTGAACAGCGATTTTTCTTTTGTGTCTACTAAAAAATGAATGGTAATTAGAATATTATATAATTTGATTAAGATCTACTAAAAAAAATGGACTTACTTCACACGATGGGTGGGTCACTTTTATAGGCGAGAAATTTGGAAGGTAGGATACAAAAGGAAATTCAATTTATACTTATTCACAAAAATAAACGATTGCTAATGTAAAACGAATAAAAAGCATAGTTTTTTTTGTATACATGTGCGTATATTTTTCCGTTTTTTCTACGTCTTCCCTAATTTTTATGAAAACTACTTGAAAAATCAAAAAATGACCTCTTTTAAGTACTACCCAGATAAAATTATCTTTCAGAAAATGAATTAGAATCAGAAAATCGTGGCGAAATTTCTGGTGGAAAAGTTGTTCACAGAAACAAAAAAAATAAAAATAAATATCACTGTAAAACTAATACGTCATTCTTCACTATGCACCGAATCTAAAATGTTGATATGATTACTCGCGGAACTTTTTGTTGAACTATCCATGAAAACTGACAATTTCGCATTGTATTTTATATAAGTTTGTTTTATATGATTTATGTTTATAGATTTTTAAAAGTTTTGTATTACTTTTGTACACTTTTAGTGGGTCTTCTAGGGGAAATTATAGGTTCATAGGTAAATTTCAATATGAGATGTTGTTGTGAAAGGTGTGTTTTTGCTTACCTTATAACACCCCCCACAGAGCATTTAATCAATATGAGGGGATGCAATTTTGTATCTGCATGGTCTCAGTATGAAGAATGTGTCTTTTGAAGACTTCAACTTTCAACCACCACATCAATCATTTTTGTGATCAAATTTAACAAATTTTTTTGAAGAAGTATAATAATTTAACATTGTATTCAATTATTTATTAGGAGAATGTTCAACTTTTTATTTGTTTAATATATATATATATATACATATACACGCAGTGTACATTCATTAAAACGCATATTTTATTTTTGCTTTAAACGGGTAGTCAAGAAATATGTGTAGAAGAACTATGGAGGAAAATTATTAGATTGGAAAGCAAGAATATCAGATAGAGACGGCTGGAGGTCTGGACGGGATGATGGTCTTAAGAGGTCGGTTTTATACGCCAGATAGGACGAAGAAAATTTAACTTTCGTTTTATCGTTTTAATTCGATTCGGGATACCCGTATACAAGATGTAAACAAAGAAATTGTCCGATATATTATGCGCGCAGTGCCGGATTATTGTTTATTATGATACGCGTGCTCGTGATAAAATGATATAATATTATATACGCTTAACCTAAATATTTATACTATCCTGCATTTTTTTTTTTTATGTTTTCGAATATTTGTTTAATGACATAAAAAAAAAAATAAAACAAAAAATTAATCTGTTCGAGGTTGGTTTTTTAATAGACGGCCGCGCGCGTATAAAATTAAGTTATATACACTATTTTTATACTTTTAGCTTATTCGCGAGAATTTTAATGATTTGTTTATAAGTACTAAAGCGAAATTGAGGGCATTGTCATTATATTGTTATTTCTCCTTCCCCCATTAGATTTTCCCTGGGGCATCATATAAAATATTATAATTATACATCAGTGCAATTTATAAGTAAGTATAATATACTATATATTACGATATTGCACATTGCCATTATAATAATATATAATCCTGTCGACATTATTTTTTTGCCTACAATACTGCAGTGTATTTAGTTCAAACGGTAACACGCGTAATGTTTTGGCTGGAATTTGTCAATAAATTAAAAAAAAAAAAAAAAATCGTAATCAAGTCAAAATAGTTTGAAAAAAAAAAGCTGGTAGGTTTACTACTGAGGAAAATCGGAAGGGTCGAAGAGAGTTTATACCTATATATTTACATCTGTACGCAATGATAAACGATTCTGTGTGTAGGTCTTATTTTTGGTAACCCGGAAATCAAAAACAATTTTACGAAAAATTATCAATTTTTCCCAATTTTTATGAAAGTCCCTAAGAAAATCAAAAAATGGGATCTTTAATGTTCTAATAAGATCAAAAAATTAACAAAAAAGAACTCTAGTGAATATTTATTGGAGGAAGATTTCTAATAGGAAATTTGTTTACAGACATAAAAGAGACATCATAGTAAAACCAATAGATCTCTCGCTATACTAAGAATCTAATATGTATACGACTATTCGAATCTGGTTATGTTTAGATGACGCCACAGATCAGCGTCTCCTATCTCAGTTTAACTTTGGGCAACGTAGCAAAAACTTGCTTCGGCAGAATGAGTAGTTCGTTTGATTTTGGTTTTAGTGTAAAAACTCTAAAGTATTGTAAAATTTAAAGAAAACTGAATTCCAGAGGGCAAGTTACTTAAAAAATATTTTGAAAAAGTTACAGTCGTTTAAAATATGTTGAAATAGACATTATTTCTATTTCCTTTTTAGGCCTAAGTACAGTGTTTGATTTGAAGGAAGGATACAGGAGGACACAGGATCCCAACTAAATTTTCATTTAAACCCTAACCTACCCCTAGGTTTTTTTTAAAATTAGGATACACGAGACGGTACTTTATATAGTTTTTTTTTTTTACAATATTGGTTAACATATATATTTTTAATACTGTTTACAAAATGTGTGCAATAGTGATACGTCATTATCATAGGCAATATTGAGGTGGACGCGTCACTCTCTAAATTACTATGCCTGGCATATTCATCATAACATTGATGTATCTTTGGTGATAATTATGTTAACTATCTTAGTTTGTGGTGAATGATAATACTTTTTGTTGGTATACAAGATCTTGTTTAAAAGAAATTTTGTTAGTTAATAATGCAAAAATACCAAAAATTAACACAGGTTTCGGAGTATTTTTATTTGCCTATAATAGTATACGCTCTTCAACAATCTGTTTATAAACATTGAAAGTAAGCATAATAAGTTATGAAATTTTTGATGGTTTGAGGTTATAATATATTTCAGGGTGTTATAATGGGGGTGTGTGGGAACAGCCTCTCACGGTTGTATACGGTTTCAATTAAGCCCCTGCCTAATTGCCTCTACGCAAAGTTTGTACGTATCAACAGAGTACTTTTACTATTTTTTATTCAAGCACGGCTCAAGTTAACTATTTAATATAGGTAAAAAGTGGTAAACTATATTTTAATCATCCGACTTTGAAATATTATCATTCGTGTAAAAAATACTGTGTATAAATCAGCATAATGTAATAATATTATATAATAGAAACCGTAAAATATTATCAAAAAGTCATCGCGAAAAATACGCGCTAGAAGTTCGTTTTTTTTTTTTTTTTAAAGTCGTAATGTCCGTTTTTGTATGAATTCGCCGCAGAATTGAGTTGTTTTTTGCGCTAGGTAAAATTCTTGAAAATGACATATTTCCGTTGCTAAAATTTACCGTACGCGACGGCCTTGATTTCTGTTATAGATCATATTTTGGGACTGCCAACAGTCTGGTGTATTTCTTGACTTGGTGACAAGATAGATTTTGGTTTAAAATATTTATTTAGTTTATAAAAAAATTAACTTTTTTTTAATTCGACATTTTTATGAAAAAAAAAAAATATATATATATATTTTGCGATTATTATAATTCGATTAAACATAAACACATCTACGGGAGGGCACAAGCGCGCGTAGAGGTATGAAATACGACGTAACATATGTTATTTTAATTTTATAGATAGATAATAGGATCATACAAGACAATCGACGAAATAAAATGATCGTCGACTATAAAAATTAATTGTTAACGAAAAAATTATCAATGTTATTAAATATTGCCAATAAAAATAATTTTTTTGTATCAATTAATTATTTAATCGATACTTCTACCTATAGCATTTGTAAATATATTTCTGTTGCTTGGTACAAGAGTCAACGTTAAAATCGATTTAAAAAAGATTTTATTACGATAGATGGTTATGAATTTTAGTTGAATTTTGGATATTTGAAGTTGTTGGACATTTTAGTTTTTTGTCTTTGGTTCTTGCACCAATCTGTATAATTGCATGTATGAATTATGAAAGCCAAGTTAGTGCGCGTTGTTCAATTGTTAATTCGTATATAATTAAATCGTTTTAATCGAAATACGATTGATATAATCGACTGATTAAAACCGAAAAACGCTCACCAGTGGTGTCCAAGGAGACGCAACGGTATTCGTTCTGGTCTGACTTTTCGAACGGCCTTTCCATATACGTTTGGACATAAACCCTTGCTGAACGTTTGTCGAGGATCTTGACTTCTGCATTCCGGGGGCTAAAAAAAAAAATTCGAAACATATTTCAAAACTCATGTTGGACGATAAAAAAAATTAAAAAAAAAAAAAAACAATGATAAACCGGTACATTTTAATAACTATTATTATTATTGTAATCAAATATTGATAAAAAAAAAAAAATAAGTACATTTATCGTGTTTTTTTATGAAACCGGAATATTCTAGGCCATAATAAATTACTAACTCCAGAATATATACTTAATAAAATCATTACACAGTAATATTATATTGAAAAATATACGACGACGGTTCGTTTCTCGTCGATTATACGGGTCGATTCGGATCTGTATGCGTCATATAATATTACATTTAACACAATACCGTGTTAATTATTACCGGTAAGAGATTTCGTTGGGGACAACGGAGGCGACAGTAATTCTTCGCCGCTAAACGTCGTTCCGGTATCGATGCTGCTTCTGGAACTCGTTATTCTCGAGTTTGAATTATCATCGACAGTTTTCAAAACGGACACCCATGAATCGTCCGTCTGTATCGACCGGTTAGTCTCGTCACCCTCGCAAATATCCGGTTCGCCTTTGCCTTTGATGTTCCTTATGTTACGATCGTAGTTTACCCGCTTAAACCTGTCCACTTTATCGGATTCCACGCTTTTTTTCCGGGCCATTCTCAAATACCGTTTTATCGTGTCACTCACGGACGGCGATATATCGTCATTTTCGATGCTGGTTTTACGTTGTAGAGTTTTGGCGGGCACCTTGGATAAGCTATCAGACGTCTCGACCGAGTCGAGTTTTCTCCGGTTTTCGTCCTCAATCAAACCCAATACTTCCGGTTCCAGGGGTACAGTTTGAATACCAACATCGATGTACTTGGGTTCCATGTCTTCGATCTCTATAACGGGCGGCGGGGAAGATAAATGGTACGTTTTATCGTTTTTGAAATATAAATTATTTTTCTTATCGTTGAATATGTTGAGATAATCGGATGATGATGCATTCACTCTGTCGTATTTTCTCGGATTATCTTTCCACGTGGAACTCAACGAGTTCATTGAACTGAGCCCTAAATTTGTCGACGAACCAATAACTCTTCGGCCCAAAAATCCTCTAGTTTTTCTCAGTTCGAAATATAAGTTTTCCAGCAGTTTTCTATCCATTAAGATATCTCCTATGACTTTTTCCCGATTGGTCGACCTCGCGTAATACCGCCTTAGAGTTTCCAATAAGTTTTTTTGGGTGTTGTCGGTTTCCAGTATATTCGTCCGGAGCGATTTTCTACTCTCCGTCGGCGACACGCGCATGTCTCTTGTCGTCGATATGTAATTTTCTAGTTTTTCCAAGAGTTGCTCATGGTTTAGCGAAGATTCCTCGATCGGCGACGTTTCTTCACTGGGATTTCCGATACAGTCGTTAATAAATTGCACCAAATCCGACTTGGAATCCGTGGGACATTGATAATTCGATAGTAGAGTACTATTTTCGGATGAACCGAATAAAAATTCTTTCCTGAGTTGTTCCAACTCGTATCTTCCGGCCGGTCTGGGATGCGCTAAAAACGATACGCTGGGCACTTTGACTATATTTTCTGCTTCGTCCGCACTACTAGCGTTTTCCCGGACACTACCCAATTTAAATCTGTTCCCTCTCGGTCTACCGCGACTTCTGAAACCCAACGCGCCCGGGTATGATTGCTTTCTCCACAGTAAAAATCTTGGTTCTTTTTGACACACTTCCTGGAAGTAAGCTTCGATTTTCGGCACGTCTTCTGGCCGGTTTCCGGTACCGTCTGGTATCAGTTTCCGTCCGGCGTCTGCCATATACCTCCATGTCTTTCGCGTTAATAGCCACCGTTCCCGTTTAGAACCTCTGTTTTTCCGGTCTTTGAACGATTCTTTTTCCCACGTTTTGCCCATCGCTTCACCGCATTCTCCAATACTAATCCGAGTGGTTTTTTTCGTTATTTTTTTCTTTCTCGTAATCAACTTGAAGCTACACTTGCGGGGTTTGTCCTCGTTTTCGTCGCGAGAACCACTCGGTTCAGACATTGTTTATTTGACCGGGCACTGTCGACGATAACGCACATTAAATTAACCGAACTCGGGCATTACGAGGCCATGTGATTATATTATTTTATCGAAACGCAATTTGTATAATAATAATAATAATAATCCGAGTATAATATTACGGGAATATATCGAAATTTAGTTAAAATTATTATCACTGGTTAAAGATCGTTTGTCGGGATATAGATAGGTAACAATTAACGCATATCGAACTGAAAAGCTAGATTAAAAAAAAAAAAAACCGTCGGTCGATTCTTCGTGAAATCAACAATTTCTTCTCGCGCGTAGAAAAATATACACAATAATATAATTTAATATACGAAAATAAACTGGAATGAAAATAAGCCGCCGACAGACCGAAATACCGCTTATATTATTATATACACAATAAAAATGTCTTGTCGTAACCGCGACTCGCACTAGACTCGAAAATAGCCGCGGGTATTTTCTCGGTTAGGTAAATCCATGATAGGAAGAGTTGTGCAGGGAAACATAGTGGGAGTGAGAAGGGGAAGATAACGATCGGGTGTTGGAGTAGAAGTGTGCCAAAATATATAACGCCCACACGTTTGTCTTGTACAGTTTTGCATCACCTTATACATAATAGTAGTTTAGATACAGGGTGATCGGGGCAACTTGCCCGTTTCTTTTTCTTATTATATTATGTATAGATGGTAAACAGGAATAATACCAATGCCAAAAATCGTCTGGTTTTTTTTTTTTTTTTTTAATATTATATCGATAGGATATTAATATTTTCCGCTCTTAAAAACTATCGAGCACAAAACACGTGCAGAAAATTAATTGTAAATACAAATCACCGTCTAATAGAAAGAGTAGTTTACTATACACGTTATAATAGTTACTATTTTTAAATTTTTTTTTAGATATGATATTTTACTAACCGAAACCTTATAGTTTTCAACTATATATATATATACTATGGACTAAATATATTTATTTACGAAATAAATATGGTTAAGTTTATAAAAAAACGACAGCTTAAAGAGCTTTTTACATATTTGTAGTTTTAAATTTTATCATAATACCGTGATGTAATCGCATCGATTTTCAACAAAGTATTGATGGAATATATTATATGTTAATAAAATATTGTAGGCAATGAAGCCCGTTATTATTATTTATAAAAATGTATATTGTATACGTGTATTATAGGTATGAAAATAATACATATATGGAAATATGCGTAGAGGTACGACAAAAAGTTTTTCTTATTAATCGAATGTATACAGGTTTAGAAATCAATATTTTGTCTTTCATGAACCCAAATACCCTAAATCCATTCTGACGTTTGAAAAGTGACCCGTTCTGCGAGGAGCGAACCGAAGAAAAAATATTTTTTTAATTATATAATTATATAATTATATAATTTAATTACATTGTTGAATTCCATTACAAATGTTACAATTATTTTACTATCATATATATATATATGTCTATTTATATTTTAAATTTTACTATGAAGAAGTGGAGGTTAATGGTACCTATTAACCTTCTAAAAGTACATCCTCGACTGTAAGAGTTCGTAACACAATTCATATATTATCTTATAATTTGAACTCCGTTCCTTAGTAGTCTGTGTTTAAAACTCGGTGTTTCCAGCGGGCCCGTATTAACGTTTAGGCAAGGTAGCCACTTACTTGGGACTAAGCTATGATGGGATGGGAGCTTTTTTTTAATTGATACGTAATGGAGTCCCAAAATTAATCATTTTAACATTATAATTTTGTTTTCATAAATTTATAAAATTCAAATCACTTATCAAATTTGCAAATTGATTAAGCGATGAAGTTGTGATATACACGATTTGACATATATTTACTTATATAAATAGAAAATTAGAATAAATCATAACGACCACCGATAATAAACGTATTTGCAACTCGTTCGGATACTCACGTTTCTATTGTCATAAATTAAATTGAAGTAGAAAACTTCCATTTTGATATGTTCTGCTATTATACTATCACTGTTAAAGAAACAATTTTAAATGAAAATCAAACTATACATTTAAATAATAAAAAACTTACTAAGAATTAAATAAATAAAATTGTTGTGGTAGGAAGGTATAAATATTTAAGGTTGAAAAAGTGAACATTTTAACTATGACATTTTGCTGTATAAATGGCGAGTTCGTAGGGAGAGTACGTGTTAGGAGTTGAAACCGTAAAAGTCACATCTTTGCTACATTAACGAAGAATATATTTGAAAATTACACCATCCTAGCCTTAATGGTGAGAAGGGGAAGGTCTTTAGGGTTTAAAAAAGCTAGAAAACATCATCCTTTCGTCGGAACTCGCCTAAATTCGTATTGAAGTTCAATCCAACTCACAGTGATCGGGAAATCAATTCTAGCAGGACAAAATGGACAAGCAATTAGATTAAAAATAAAATACTAGGTGCATTATATATATCTATAACAATATAATATAGAAATTAACATGTATTAAGCTCTAAGTTAAATAACTCACGACAATCACATCGAAACACAATAACACCAAAACTTTTAGAGATTAGGCATTTCAAAATATCGACTCATTTCTCCATTTTGCCATTCTCAGAATATTTTGCTAAATTATAAAATTATATAATGTGCACATTTATTCTAAAATGGACATTAAATTAAACAGTGAGTTTACAGTTTTCACTAACGAATATTACTTTATATACAAAGTGATCCATTGAAGTGGGTGCACTCATTAGCTTGGAAAGTATTAACTTTTTTCGAAATTTATTTTATAGAACATTTATGAAACAAGCAGCTCTACAATTTTATATTTATGCTACTTTTTGTTACTCTTCTTTATGGGGATAAAACTACAACCTACTTTTATTTTTTAAACGCCCGTAGGCTTAAGTACATTGAAGGTAAACTACATTAATCGAACTTAACTATATATAAAAACGTATTACAGCATAAAATATATTATAATATTAAAGTAATTAGGTAATAATAACAATGAGTAGATAACAATTTATAGGGTTAAATAAATTTCAAAAATATATTAAAGAGACTTGGCTTAACAAATGCAAATATCTTGTATAAAATAAATTAATGATTTCAATTCATTACATTCTTTGGCTATATGATCCAGGGATTTATTATAGATATAAGAGGTACAATGAAATTGAATAGAAAATATAGGACAGTATCGTGAATAATATTGACGATAATAACGATATAATAATAACGATGATAAGTGACCATCATAGGTTACCATATAAAAATCAAAATTAGGTAGTAGTTTTGCTCTTAAAAATAAGGGTGACAAAAAAATAACATAAATACAATATTATAGAGTTGCTTGTTTCTGAAATGTTTTATGAAACAAATTCCGAAAAAAGTTAATATTTTCCGAGATAATGCATACATCTACTTAAATGAATCATCTTGTATATATATTTATTTCCGTGTGTCTGTAACAAACATATTGAATTTTTATTGAAATACAACCAGTTAATTTATTCGTGGTGTTATATTTTCATGTTTGAACGCGCGGATTAAACAAAAGTAGGCGATAATAGTATAATTCCGACAGTGTCAGTGACCATCATGACAAACGTCAGATTCAAAATGATAACATTCATGAAAATGTCCATACAAGTCACAATTATAGTAAAATAATAATTATTATAATGACATTTTTGTGTGGTTCGGAATTTTGGGCAGTAGTCAAAAAAATAAATTGGATAATGAGTGTAGCATAAATAAGAATGCTTAGGTAGACGAACGGAGTGACAAGAAGAGATAAGATAAGGGATGAGTACAGTACATAAGAGGTAGCTTAGGCGTGGCTTTGATAGTAAGCAAAATTAACTGAGATGGTTTGAGTTAGTCACGCAGAGAGGGGAATCTAAAACAGTAGACATTGCAATAAAAATAAGTGTAGGAGACAAGTGCCGAGAGGAAGACTAAAAATAAGGTATTTGAATACAATAGAGAAAGATAAGAGGACAGCAGTTGTATACGAGGTGGGAGATCGAGTATATGGATGTATAGAACGAAGATGGCCGACTTCAAATAGTTGGGATGAAAACGAAGGCGAAGAAGAGAAGAAGATTGTTATAATGAAAATAAAAATAGTATCCTTATAAGTAGTACCTATATATTGTCTACTTGTAAAAAAAAAATAATCTCATAAATTACTAGATTAAGGACACATTTAATACATAAAATAATTTTGTCCAACATTTTCGACCACTGTAAAATCTGTAAAAACAACTCTGAATCCCGAATTTAAGGACATTTGATCCTGGGAAAAGGAAAGAGGCGCCGTTGAAAAATTGCATGAGTATAACCAGGAAACAGTCTCCGTTTTCGAGGAAATTTCGACGAAAAAAAAAAGAAAATACCATAGTTACCTACAATAGCATTATTACAGTAAAATAAACGGTATAAATTATAGTTCCTGTTTGTCCGGCTCTCGTGTATAATCTGAAACGAAAACGTTATCGCGAAGATTTAATATTAGAAATCTATTAAAAGGAATAATAATAAAAAAAAAAAAAAAAAAAAAAACAACACCGCGTTGATTTAAAAATAATCGAGTCCGTTCTATAAATAATAAAATGAAAACGAATACAATAGAGAGACCGAAAAAAATTTTTAAATATATCTATATATTTTATATATGTGCGTAAGAGTTTTTATGCACTTCGATCGGTATATAAATCGGAAAAAGCCGGGAGAGAATTGGCAAGTTTTATCGTTCTGTGAATAGGCTGTTATTGGCGCAGTTTATAATATTGAGGACATAAAATGCAACTATACGGACTTCGGAAAAAAAAAAAAAAAAAAAAAAAAAAAAAAATGAGCCGTAACTCTATAAAACATATTATTATATATACACGCACAACACACGCTAAGCCACAAATAATAATTTTATGCGAAATACTTATAATGTAATAAAAATGTATGTATATTCGTGTATTAATATACGCGCGTACTTAATAGTAAACGT